GCTGGGCTCTGGCGATCCTTCCGCCTCAGCCTTCCAAGTAGCCGGAATTATAGGCATGCGCTTCCACGCCCAGCTATGAATACGTTTTTAAAATGTATGTATGTATGTATGTATGTATTTGAGTCATGATCTCACTCTGTTGCTCAGGCTGGAGGGTAGTGGTGCAATCATGGCTCACCACAGCCTTCAATTTCTGGGCTCAGGCAATTTTCCTGCTTTAGCCTCCCTAGTAGCTGGGACTTAAGCATGCACCACCATGTACGGTTAATTTTTTATAGAGACAAGGTTGCGCCAAGTTTCCCAGACTGGTCTCAAACTCCTGAGTTCGAGCAATCCTCCCACCTTGGCCTCCCAATGTGCTGGGATTACAGGCATGAGCCACTGTGCCTGGCCCAATAAATACATTTTTAAATAACAGAATTTTAGCTCTTAACAAGCAAGAGATTGGAGGTTGGTGGGGACAGGAGAGTTGTGTGTCTGTTTGTCACTAGATTTTTTGGGACCCAGAGACTTAGGCCAACTACCAGGCACCATAGTGCTTACCAGACTTCTTCTTTTTCAACCTCCTTCAGTTCCCAGCTCCCCTGACAGAATAACTGCTCTAACTCATTGAGTATGCCAGGCAGGTCAAGCCACATGTAGTTTGCATTAAAATCAGGTACTACAGAGAGTTAAGGTTGGACCATAGTGAGGGAGAGAATGTCAAATGTAAGCAGAGATTATTTTCCCACTTGGAATATAAGCATGAATATGGGGTTTGGGTCAGCAGGGATTAATGCAAAAGAGGAGGCTGTAAGTAGAAAATAGAAGTTCAACAAGAAGTCTGGATGACATTTCAACAACTTTCTGCTTGGGGAACCCTTCCTAAAGACTCTAAGGTCTAAAGATCTTGTAGGTCCCCGGGAACCCAGTCTGCAATAAATGTGCTCTAATGCTCCTAGATGAAACTTTTATTTTTTTAAGTACATTTGATATCATTGTAGTAAATATATGGCTATATTAGCAGAGAATTATTTTTTTTCTTTTATCTTGGAATAAAGTAATCTTTCTCTTAAAATTACTTATGTCTTGAATAATCAGTTTTCTTATAATAAAATGTGCTGTGGGTGTACATCCTCTTGATTAACAATGGTGTTTCCATTTATTTATTTTTCTAGTGTTAATAGTATCTCTCTCTTTTTTTGAGTTGGAATCTCACTCTGTTGTCCAGGCTGTAGTGCAGTGGCACATTCACGGCCACTGCAGTCTCAACCTGCTGGACTCAAGTGATCCTTCTGCCTCAACCTTCCAAGTAGCTGGAACTCCAGGCACGTGCTACCATGCCCGGCTTATTTTTTGGTTTATTGTAGAGACGAGGTCTCACCAAGTTACTCAGGCTGGTCCTGACCATATGAGATCAGGCAATCCTCTCACCTTGGCCTCGCAAAGTGCTGGGATTACAGGCTTGAACCACCATATCCAGCCAATTCTGTATTTTTATTAAGATACATTGTTTTGTGTGTGTGTGTGTGTGTGTGTATGTTTTGTTTTGTTGTTTTTTGTGGAGACAGCAGTCTCAATATGTTGCCCAAGCTGATCTCAAACTCCCAACCTCAAGTGATCCTCCTACCTCAGCCTTTCAAATTGCTGGGATTGCAAGCATGAGCCACAATGCCTGACCTAGATATGTTTTTGTTTAAGTCATAATTCCTGAAATATAACATATGAACATAGTAAAAAAAAAAAATCATTAAACAGCTCACATCCCAGGTATTACAAGATGGAATAGAATTATGAAAGGTAGAATTTCATGTGGAAGGACAAGCTAAAGATGATATATTATTTGCCCCAACCAGTAAGATTATAGTTATTTTTTGAAGGTAAACTTTAATAGTTTAAAAAGTAACAAGAAGTGGTGATCATATTTTTTAGATGTTCTCAGGGAGTCAATCTAAAGATATATTTGATTTTAAAGTTATTCAAATTTCAGAACTGAAAAGTGTAAGAGATCTATACCTTCATTATCAGATTTTAGAGGTTTTTGTTTTATTTTGCTTTTTGTTTTGTTTTGTTTTTTTTTTTTTTGAGTTGGAGTCTCACTCCGTTGCCCAGGCTAGAGTGCAGTAACACAATTGTGTCCACTGCAGCCTTGACTTGCTGGGCTTAGGCAATCCTTCTGCCTCAGCCCTCCAAGTGGCTGGGACTATAGGTGCATGCCACCACGCCCAGCTATTTTTTTTTTTTAATCGGAAAATATAGTTTATTTAGAAAGTAAATGAGAAAGAGAAGATTCACCTCCTCAAGGTGGGGGGGGGCAAAGCTAAGAAAGCATGGTGGTCATAGCTCAAAGAACACATGGCCTTGTCAATGCTTAACAAAACAATGACCTAATTTTTTTTATTTATTATACAGATACGGTCTTGCCATGTTGCCCAGGCTGGTCTCGAACTACTGGGCTCAGGCAGTCCTCTTGTCTCGGCCTCTCAAAGTGCTGGAATTATAGGCATGAGCCTCTGGGCCTGGGCCAGATTGTAGACTTTTAAACTCTAATTTGAAAACATGTCAAACCTTGCAAGAATGAAGAGTAAAATTATGCATGCCCTTTAATTAAATTCACTAATTGTTAACATTTTCCTCCAGTTTCTTTTTCTCTTGATATGTGTGTGTACATATATTATGTTTACTTATTCTCTGTACCCCCTAAGAACAAGGAATTATTTTACGTAACCATAGCCACACTATAATAATCAAATTAAGGAAATTTAAAATTGATACAATATGATCTAATTATATAGACCCTACTCAAAATGTACTGACTATGCCAGTATTATATAGCATGCCATATTTCCCTCATCTCCTTTCATCTGAAATATTTCCTTGGGCTTTTCTCCTTTTTTGGTCTTTTGTGACTGATATACTGAGAGAGGACAGGCCAGTTGTTTTGTAGACTGTCCCTCAATTGGGGTTTACCTGCAGGTTCTGCACTTGTGTTCAGGTACATGTCTTTGTGAGAGTTAGCTATTATTACATAAGCAATGGTGTGTCCCTCTCCTTGCGTCATGCCAGGAAGCACCTGATGGCACTTTGTCCCTTTATTCTTTAGGTATTTCAATGTATTATTTTGTAGAATTGTGTGCTCTATTGTCTGAGATCAAATCCAGTTTACCTATATCATAATGAATTAGCCCAGACATTTTATCAGCCCACATGAGAGAAATAGGAATAATCCCCCAAACCAATATGAGATAACCCATGTTTAACAAAGAAAAGTGAATTCTTAGCTAAAGGAATCTCCCTATAAAAACATACTCTATGATAGGAGTCTTCTCACAGTAAGCTACATATTTTATATATGATTCAATTTACATAAAATAAACTGTTTTAAATGGTAAGTATATAAGGTGATAGAAATGTTCACTAACTTGATTTATCATTTTACTATGTGTACATATATCAAAACATTATATTGTCCAGTATAAATATATATAATTTTTATTTATCAATTATGCAGCAAGGGAAGAAAATCTGTTTTCATGTACTTCACAAATACATCCATTACATAATATGTGCACACTGCCATATTATGTGAGATTTAATGATCCCCTAGGATTTGTTTGTGTTTCTTTTTGTTGTTTTGGTTTGTTTGTTTTTTTAGTTGGAGTCTCACTCTGTCACCCAGGCTGGAGTGCAGTGGCACCTCATGGCCACCCCAGTGTTGACCTGCTGGACTCTGGCGATTCTTCCGCCTCAGCCTTCCAAGTAGCTAGAACTACAGGCATGTGCTACCACACCCGGCTAATTTTTTAGTTATTGTAGAGACGAGGTCTTGCCATATTGCCCGGGCTGGTCTCGAACCCTTGGGCTCAGGCAGTCCACTCACCTCAGCCTTCCAAAGTGCTGGGATTACAGGCTGAGTCACCGAGCCCAGCCAGATTTGGTTTTTGACAGCAAAAAAAATTGCCCTTTATGGTGCCAATCTCAAAAATGTTAAGAACATACCACAAGCATCTCCTAATAAAAAATTTTAGATTTCTTGACCATGAATGTATGTTGAATCTGCCTGTGCTTTCATGGATGCCATTTGGGAAATCATAAATTGCATATTTCCCACTTGGATTTAGGTAGCATTTCTTTCTTCCTCTTTTTTTTTTTTCTTTTGAGTGAGCATCTCACTCTGTCACCCAGGCTGGAGTGCAGTGGCATGTTCATGACCACCGCAGCCTCGACCTGCTGGGCTCAGGCGATCCTTCCGCTTTATCCTTCCACGTAACTGGAACTACAGGCATGCATGGCTAATATTTTGATTTAATGTAGAGATGAGGTCTCGCCAAGTTGCCCAGGCTGGTCTCAAACTGGTGGGCTAAGGCAATCCTGTCACCTCTGCTCTTTCTTCCTTGTTAACCCAGAGGCTACGAGCTCTAGTATCTAATGGGATGAGTCAGTGAAGTGGTCCAGGAGTAAGGATTAGAATCCAAGAGGAGGTGTCCCACTTGCAGGAGCAGCCGCCCTCACCTGTAGCCTGTCATTGCCCTGTGGAAACATGGGACCAGTGTGGCTAAGGTGTTCTGATTTTTTCATAGAAACCTCAGATTTGAATTTTTAAACATTGTGAATGCAAGCAAATTTTTTTAAAGACACTGTGCAGAAACAATAGGGATTTCATGGCTTACCTATTTCTTACTCTCTTAAATAGACCTCTCTTTCATGTCGAGTGTACTTTCTATTTTCTCAGATTTAGAATATGAATTCATAGTCCCCTAATTTTCCTCCCCCCAGTTGTGACAACTTTTATTATATCATTCTTTCGGCTTTCCTCTTAACATAGTAAAGTCTATTTTTATTATTATATAGAAACAGCTCCATGTGCCACATTATTTTGTTTACCTTGACCCAAGACACACTGATGTATAATAGTAAAATTATATAATCAGTCCTTTCATCTGTTGTTGTTATCAGTTGTTTTTGAGGGTGAGTGGCAGTTTCATGGGCAGAAGCCAACCCTTCTTCCCTTCTCTCCTCAGCCGTCATTTCATCAAGCTGATAACGTTCGGGGAACCCGCCACCACGGGCTGGTAGAGAGGCCCTCCAGGAATCGCTTCCACCCCCTTCACCGAAGGTCCGGGGAAAAGCCAGGACGACAAATATCCTTTTTCACTTTGTGAGGCGAGTGTTCGTGTAGAAATGTTGGAAAGGGCTTCAGGATTTACCTTCCCTGTAATTCCCCTTTGGCCTCAAAAATCTCATTTTATCTGATGAAAGAAGGCAATCTAAATAAAGGAATTGGAAACTAGAAACATCTCTACAGCCAAAATTTGGAAACATCACTGTAGGTGTGTACTTTATGAAAGCATTGGTAAAGTTCAGTTTAATGAAATAACTGAACATAAACAATATGTAATTCAGCCCCACTGCAAAGTGTTCTCAGCATTTTCTTCAGAAATTGGCAAAGTCAGAGTTAAACTTGACTTTGAATCGGGTTAAAGAGATTTAGTTCATCTAGCAATATATAGATAGGTGATTTATTTGTATTTCTGTTGATCTGCTGGCCTGCTTTTGGAACTTACAGGAGAAATTTTGTATGTTTTTTTATTAATGACATTTCAAACTCAATACAACTAAAATATACACCCCGGATTTAGGACAGTCTTGTACAGTGACCCACACTCATACCAATATCTATGCTATGAAGTAGAAATAGAGAAAAGGAAATGACGGCTTCATCTGACAGTTTTATTATCAGTACTTCTTAGAGGTGGTGGGGGCGGGTACTGTGTGACCAGCGTTGTGCCAAGGGCTTTGGAGATACAGAACTGAGCTGGATTTTATGGGAGAGGACACAGAAGTGTGCCAGTAGAGGCTGTACTCTCACTTCACTCTTCTCAGCACTGGGGTGCAGGGGTGGAGGAAGAAGAGAGGCGGGGTGAGTCTCACTGCAGAGAGCTGAATTCCTGGCAGTGATGGTAGAGCTGGCCTCACAAGCCTAGAAACCAGGAAGTGGGGGGAGGGCACTCCTGTTTACCGAGTACCTACCCATGCCAAGCTCTGTGCTGGGCAACTTCTATGTCATTTAGACCTCAAAATTCACTGAGTCGCTTATTTTTTAACCCCCCCCCCCCCCATTTTCTGAAGAGAAAACTGAATGAGTGTCAAAGTAACTTGCCCAGGATTCCTCTGCTATAGTTGGAAGACCCCAGGTTCAGTCCAGGTCAAGCTGACGGCCCAGCCTGTGCTCCTAACCCTTCCCATGCCACACGAGTCCTCTCATAGTGTTGGGAAACATGTGTCATGTGCAAGAGAGACCTCTTGGGAAGACTTATGGGGGACACCAAGGGAAACCCTAGCTTTTCTTGCCCTTAGGCTTCTTGCAGTTTTTAACCTATCGGGAGGTGAAGATAGTGAGCCCAGGGAATGTTTATTTCTTCCCTTCTCCCACTCCCAGGGGCATACCACACTTGGTCCACAGAGGTACTCTGGCTTCTGGCTTTGTCTATTGTGTGACCATTGTCAAGGAAAGTAAAGATGATAAATGGTCTTGAGAATTTTCTCTGGAATAGGTGATGACTTTGAGACAGACTGAAAGAAGTGAAAGGGAGCTGAGGCAACACTGCCTAATTTGCACATGTTGAAGTGGACAGGACATCCAACCGCTGTCCAAACTGCTTGGAATTTTCAAGTAAGACTTTGAGTATGTCTTTGCTTGATTTAATAACATATATATTTTTTTCAGTTTCTCAATTTCCTCTTTCTCCTGTCTATGCTCTCATTTCTATATATTGCACTATACATGATACTATATTGATGTGCATATATGTATATATGGCTATCAGATACTTTTTGAAGCAAGTATCATCTAAATAGACGTGTACACATAGCTTAATAAACCAAAGGAATAAGTGAGGAGGGAATTGAAGAAAAGAGAAGAGGAGAAGGTTTATTTACTTAAAAATGATTTGTTAAGTATCCACTAGTGGCCAAGTGCCACTTTATTTTTTTATTTTATTTTATTTTATTTTATTTTATTTTTTTGAGTTGGAGTCTCACTCTTTGTCGCCCAGGCTGGAGAGCAGTGGCACGCTCACTGCCACCACAGCCTCGACCTGCTAGGCTTAGGCGATCCTTCCTCCTCAGCCTTCCAAATAGCTGGAACTGCAGACGCACACCACCACACCCGGCTAGTTTTTGTGATTTATTATAGAGACAAGGTCTCACCAATTTGCCCAGGCTGATCTCGAACCCCCGGGCTCATGCAGTCCTCTTGCCTCAGCTTCCCAAAGTGCTGGGATTATAGACTGAGCCACCATGCCTGGCCCAGGTGCTACTTTAGACACCGTAGCTGTAACTGAGTATAGCATGGTCCCTGCCCTCATGATGCCCATAGCAGAGAGAACTGGCGGCCACTGCAGGTGTGGCGTCTATAGTGTAGTGAGCACATCAGCCTGAAGCAGCCTTGGAGGAACAGAGGGGGCATCCTGGGGGAAAATCTGAGGCTGGAAGGATAAGAAGTAAGGGGATAATGTGTTCATTCAATGGATATTTACAGAGCACCTTCTCTGTGCCAGGTGCTGTTCTAAGTCCCAGGGACTTAATGAGGAATAAAGAAAACATGGTCCTTGCTTTCCTGAGTTTACAGCCCTGTGGGAGATTACAGGCAGCAAAATGGCAAAAGAATAATTAAGGAAAATGACTTAGATGGCAACATGTGACATATAGGAGAGTAAAACTGTTGGGAAGGAACATTCCAGGCAGGGGGAAGATAAATGCAAAGTCCCAGAAGGGGAGACTACATTGTGAGCTCAGGGGATGCTGTCTCTCGTCAAGTAATGTATCCCAAGGTATAACCTAGTTTATAAGAGCATTGGCACAGCTAGTCAACTTCTAAGGGAAGGAAAAACAAATCCAATTAATATACAGAAAAATTAAAGTTGCTCAGACAGTACGAGTCTGCCTCACTGATCATGGGCCATCTATCTGTGGCCTCCTCTTAAGCCCCTACTCGGGATCCTGGGACTGGACATCTGTTGATGCAAAGAAAGTTTATTAGCCCAGGGCTCCCCGTGGATGAAGCAGTCTCTTTTGAGGAATCAAGGGACCATGAGCTCCTAATAAAATATAAAAGTGGAATGAGTTTATATCCAAGGTGTTCATCTATTCAAGATAATTTGGAGGAGGGGGGCTGTGATTGCACCTTTACTTTCGTGGCCTGCATTCTGTTGGTTGTGAAATAATTCAGTTAAAATTGTTACCTCGTATATTTGTCTATTACCTTTCTAATGAAGTTTCATCATTTGAAAGTATGAGAGCTGGTTTACATCTCTTTTAGAACAGAAAGAAAAAATATGTTCAGAATTCTAATTATAGCTGTTTCTTGGCTTGGGGGTTGTTTTAGGATGGGCAGACTAGCTTCAACAAAGCCTCGGTCCTGTGATACAGTGATCTCAAATAAAACAAACACTGTTGAGCAAAGATTCTAGCTTTCTCCCAGAGTGGGCAGTCACAACAGGCAGAGCTCTGGGCAGGAGATTCCTTCAGCAGTGGGCAGTTGTACTGCAGAGAAGGCTGGTGCAGTAGGCTTTGTCATTGGCATGGCCATTGGCATGGCCGCCACAAGCAAAGACCAGGGTACTGCTGCCACTGGGCCCAGGCCCAGCCCACGCAGGCAGAAGAGAGGCACTGCCAGGGCTTACTCCTGGTTGGGGACCTGGGCTAAAGCACTCAGAACAGCTCTTCTACCTTTCTGCAGCAGCCCAGTCTCTGGCAGTTCTCCTCACCCCTCGAGGGCAGCAGACATGCTGTGTCCCAAATACCATCTTAAACTTTTGAACTATTTGGTTTTTTATTTTTATTTTATTTTAGAGACAAGGTCTTACTCTGTTGCCCAGGCTGGAGTACAGTGGTGTGATTATAGCTCACTGTAACCTCCAGCTTCTGGGTTCAAGTGATTCTCCCACCTCTGTCCCCAAGTAGCAGGGACTACAGACACATGCCACCACTCCAGCTAAGTTTTTTGTTTTTTGTAGAGATGGGGCCAAGAACCCTGGCCCTGCTCACCCAGCGTGAGTCAGGCTATATTGCCCAGGCTGGTGACTTTCTGACCTGTCAACATAAATTGACAGCAAATGAAATATTTCCTCAGACCTGTGGATAATACATTGAGAAAGAAGGGGTATGCTGAAGAATCAGAAAATACCTTCCTATAAAGGAGATGTAGTTTTTGAAAGGGAGAAAAACAAACGTTCAGAAAATTTCTCAACAAAATCAAGAATTCACTAGCACAAACAGTCATGAAGAAGTGTATTAAAGCCTGCAAGAGTTAGGAATGATTCTCTTCTCTAGGATGGGCATGGCTTTGATTCTTTTCATCACAATGAGATGAAACTTTTAGGACATTGACTTATATGACAGTGTTTCCTTGAAATACATGGCATATTGCATTTGAGAAACATTGAGCTCTCCGTTCCCTCTTGGAACCTCAGTCTGTATACAGAGTATATAGTAGGGCTCTGAGAAGCCCTACAGTTAGGAAACTTAACTTTAACGCAGGGTTTCTAAAATGTGTGTGATCACAAAACCCAACTTTTTTTTTTTAAATTTCAATAACTTTGGGGAATACAAATAGACTGGTTTGAGTTTTAAGAGCACCCATCACCCCCACCTGTGCACGTTATACCCAACAGGTGATTTTTTTTATCTCTCCACCCTCCCCCCATTCTGAGACTCCAGTGTCCATTTTACCATTCTTTGTGTCTTTGCATGTCCTTAGTTTAGCTCCCACTTATAACAAAACCCAACTTTTGCTGGGCACAGTAGCTCATGCCTGTAGTCCCAGCACTTTGGGAGATGGAGGCAAGAGGATTGCTTGAGCCCAGGGGTTCGAGACCAGCCTGGGCAACTTAGTGAGACCTCATCTCTACAAAAAATTAACTGGGCATGGTGGCACATACCTGTAGTTCCAGTTATTTGGGAGGCTGAGCTGGAAGGACCTGAGCCCAGCAGGTCGAGGCTGCGGTAACCCTGAGTGTGCCACTACACTGTAGCCTGGGCAACAGAGTTAAATTCCAATTCAAAAATAAACAATAACAAAAAACGTTTACCCATCCTCCACCTCATCTTGAAGGACAAGGAAACACTAGTATTTAGAATTTTAAGGAGAAAATATTCTGACTTCAAAATTTGACATGCAACCTGTTTGCCACTCATGTGCTGAGGGAAATAGGAAGATATTCTCATGCATGTAAGGACTGAAAAGATCTCACTCATCTCTCTCCCTCAAAATTGGATTTTAAGATGTAGTCTAGTAGCACATAGTTGGAGGTAAAGGGACAAGAGGAAGTAAAGTGACAGTAACAACATGGCTGAGAAATCGGGAAGGAACTGAGTTGTGGCCAGTTTTCTCTATTAAATCTGACCCTGGAACTTGTCTTGGTGGGTGGGTTCCATTAAGCAGACTCTGAGTCCATTTACACTGCCAGCTGCATGGAAGTCACAGGCCTGCCCCACAAACTGTGTCCCTGGCAGAACACAGAGTTCTAGAGGGCAGGAGGGAAAATGACCGGTCTCCAGGCTGCCTCCACAAGGCAGTTCCTGAGCCCTGCCCAGGTGCACTTACCACATGGGGACAGGAAGCCAAGAGAAGAACCCTAGCCCTGCTCACCCAGCCGCGAGTCAGCCAGCACCAAAAAAGAGACAGGGTGGAACTTGTTTTGAGCTTCTGTGGCTCAGTAACTCCACCCACTGGTAAATGGGCCAACAGATGTCCTCTCTTATCAACAGAAAGAAGACCTACTCCCCTTCCTTTGGGGAAGAGTGAGTAAGAATTGTTCCCTCGAACACTCCCCAAGCTGAGAGGAGTCCCCTTGTTGATGGATTGAGGCAATAACTCAGGGAAGAGAATTTTCTTCTACAGAACTTCAGGGACTTGGAAGAGAGGGAACAGCTGGGATGACTCCAAGATGCCACTTGCGCATCTGGTGGATGGTGCCTTCATTAAGTAAGGTGGACTATAAGAAGAGCAGATAGGGAAGGATTCATTGGATTTAGATGGAATTTGAGATGTCGGGTACTTTTGATTGAGAACCTGAATAGGCAGTTGGAAATATGCACTTGGAGTTCACAAGAACTGTTGGGAGCTAGAGGCATGGATTTGTGAGTTCCTGGACCTTGGGTGACAGTAGGAGCCAAGGCAGGATGGGATTGACCAAGGCGAGCATGGAGGTCAGGGTGCTCTCCACCAGGGAGATGGGTACTGGCCTAGAGTCTCCTAGAAAATGCTTCCCAAAGGTCTGTGCCCAGAGGCTTCAGCCCCCCACTACTCCCACTCTACCTGGTGCCCAATGATTCAGAGAGCATCCTGTCTCTCTGAGAGCAGTGCTGCAAATATGGACTGAGGTTTTGAGGCCATAGGACCCCAGGGAACATTAAGATGGAAGGCAGGGGAGGAGGAGTCGGCACAGGGGCTACAGAGGGGTGAGAGGAAAAGGTCCATGCGAGTGTGGGGATAGGTTTTAAACTTGGATTTCTGTTTCCATCCATTGCAGCCACTCTTCTTTGTTTATCCTTTTCATTATCCCTCCTTCCCCGCCCCCCACCCTTCCTTTTTAATGTGGAAATATTCCTTGAGCCAAATGCTTAACTCACTAAGCTTAACTAACTCAGGAAGTCATGGAGGAGGAGCTGGTGTGGTTTGTTAAAACCCTGTAGCCTGTTCTCTCCTCTTCTGCCTGTATGCCGGCACCCAGCAGGCACATCAGACGTGTTTGTGGATTAAATGGTAAATTCAGGCTTACAAATAAGGATGTTTTGGCCAGGTACAATGGCTCATGCCTGTCCCTAATAGCTTTGCCAGCAAAAATACTGACAGGCTTCATCTTTGCCAGGGCCTTCTTACTTCTTTATCACCTTTCCTCTTCTGTCTTCGACTGTGCTCTGTTGAAATCTGTAGTTCACAGACATTAGGCCTAATACTTATTGTTGAAGAAATGTCTCTCTTTATTTATTGATTCAGGGTCAGATTAAGAAATAAGGTAACGAGACAGGTCAAAGAAAACAAATACATAGAAGATGAAATTTACAGTTGTAATGCTTCTCCTGGCAAAGAAGACATTCCACATTAAATCATTAAGCACTTATGGGAGCCCATGTTTCCCTGGTTCCAAATTCTGTATTCACTTAAGGTACCCAGTCAAGGCTACGTGCTAGGTTCCTACTCCATCAAGGCCCCCATTTCATCCTGAGCCCAAGCAGATGATACCTCCTTTTATAGTCCCCATCCTTCCTCCCAGAAAAGTCCAGGTACGTATTTGCTATTTTCTGGTGTTAGGTCACTGTTTCCTGAGAGGCAGCGCAATGTACTGGATAGCTCCTGTGCTTTAGCATTAGTGAACTGTGGTTTGACTCCTGATCTACTATGCCAGCTCTTTGATCTTGAATTTCGCAACTCTTCTAGAGCTGAACCTCAGTTTCTTCAACTGTAAAGTGAGGATAATATTATCTGCCTCTCAGGATTGTTAAGATGAAATGAGAGTGCGAACTCGCTTAGCACAGGCCTGGCACATAGTAGCTACTTAGATATCTATTTTCAAATTTCTGTCTTAATAAATATCTTGTATCTTCTGTATTATTTCTACCTTAAGAAATAAAGATTTGGGATCAAAAGTATTATTGGTAACTGCCAAATGTTTATTTCATCCAGTCAGTCAAACAGGAGACAAAATAAATAGGCTTGATTTTGGTGAGGGCGATAAGGAGGTAAACTAGGTCTTCAAGGAGGCAGTGCTCCCCAAAGGAGGAGAGAAAGGGGAAAGGGCGTTAGCATAGGCAGGGGGGCAGGCAATGCAGATGTGTTTGGGGGGACCACACAACTGGAGTGAAGAGAGCAGAAAGGTGCAGTAGCACAACTGTGGGACACTAAAGTACCAAGCCAATGAAGTTCAATCTTGCCTCTTAAGCTGAAGAAAATCATTGCAGATCTTTTAGCAGGAGAATAATACATTTTAAAGTATTTTCAGAAGACTACTCTGGGTGCGTTTAACTCATTGTGTAAGTGCAGCATCCCGTTTGTTTCTCCACGCATCTGGAATGTGTCCTAGGGCACACTAAATCCACTGAATGATACAAGATTTATAAAACAGCCCCAACAGCACCAGAAGGTTACGTTTCTCCAGAAATCTAATTCAACTTGTTTTGGGTTATTAGTACCAGGAACCCACCCTAACTTGAAAAAAGGAAATGTATTGGCCAATGTCACTGGAAGCCAGCTAGATCCAAGGAATCACAGAGTATCATTGAGACTGGGTCTCTGTGGTGCTACCTCTGCGTTAACTTCATGCGTAGGTAGGCTTTCTTCCAGGGGAGACACCAGGTTCACATGACCTATGGATTCCCTCCTTTTTTTTACCCCTCAAAAGCACTCTTGGCTGGGCACAGTGGCTCACACCTGTAATCCCAGCACTTTGGGACGCCAGGGCAGGAGGATTGCTTGAGCCCAGGAGTTCGAAATCAGCCTAGGCAACATAGCAAGACTATCTCTACAAAAAATTAGGTGGGCATGGTGGGGCACACCTGCAGTCCCAGTTACTCGGGAGCCCAATAGCTGCCATGAACCATGATTGTGCCAGCCAAGGTGACAGGGTGAGACCCTGAGTCCAAAAAAAAAAAAAAACCCTCTCTGCCAGGTGTGGTGAATCACGCCTGTAATCCCCAACACTTTGGGAGGCCAGGGTGAGAGGACTGCCTGAGCCCAGGGGTTTGAGACCAGTCCAAGCAACTTGGCAAGATCTTGTCTCTACAATAAATAAAAAAAATTAGCTGGGCGTGGTGGTGTACACCTGTAGTTCCAGCCACTTAGAAGGCTGAGGTGGAAGGATTGCCTGAGCCTAGCAGGTCGAGGCTGCGGTGGCCATGAGCATGCCACTGCACGCCAGCCTGGGTGACAAAGTGAGACTCTAACTCAAAAAAAAAAGCACTCTCCTTTCTGCTTCTATCATGAGCTCATCCCTGAACCAATCACTGTTTCCAGGTAGTGGGGCAGGCATACTGGGCTTGGGTCCATCACACAGGACAGAGAGGGAATGACAGTCTTCCCAAGCCAGGAGTGAGAGTGGAGATGGTTCTTGAAAACAAAAGTTGCTGGGCAGGCAAAAAAAAAGGAAGAAAGAAAGAAACACCCCCATGAATCATGCAAAGAAGATACTGGTTAGAAGATAGAGGATAGACTGCCCTAGAGGAAATTGATTAGAGGAAGCATGAAGGAAGAGCTATCAGGTGTAGAGATAAAGATCACCAACTCTGTGGTTAACACTTCTGAGTCCATCTTCTTCATTTTGCTTCAATTTTCCATTAATTTGTATTTTTCCTTTATTAAAAATTCTACTTTGATGGCAGCACTTTTGGAGCCAATTATTCCTCACAGCCCCTGGATGAGAGTTGGCCACGGTAAGCAAGCCGTATTTTAAAAACTATAATGGTCATGGGTTGTTTTCAGATGATTTCACTTTATTTTATCCACATTGAATATTGATTTAGAAATTTCTAATATGAAGCATAGAATCTTGTTTTCACTTATAAAACTTTAGTTTCTCAGTGGGAAGATTGCTTGAGCCCAGGAGTTCGAGGCTATAATATGTGATGATCGTGCCTGTGAATAGCCATTGCACTCTGACGTGGGCAACATAGCGAGATGCAACTCTAAAAAGAAAAAAAACAAACTTAAGTCATTCCTTGTATAATTATAGGCTTATATGAGGCTGGGCATGTGGCTCAAGCCTGTAATTTCAGCACTTTGAGAGGCAGAGGCGAGAGGATTGCCTGAGCTCAGGGGTTCGAGACCAGCCTGGGCAACTTGGTGAGATCTCGTTTCTACAATAAATAAGAAAAAAAACCGGGTGTGGTAGCTTGCTCCTGTCATTCCAGCTACTTGGAAGGCTGAGGTGGAGGGATTGCCTGAGCCCAGCTGGTTGAGGCTGCAGTGGAGCCTAGGCGACAGAGTGAGACTCTGACTCAAAAAAAAAAACGCAGTCTAAAATGAAAAATTATTTAAATAAATTTAGATCTTCATGTTTAAAACCAAGTAGAAACACATTTGGAATCTATTTAGCAACAGAATATTTGATATTCTTATGTTGGAAACATTGGAAAAATAAGTGCCTTTTCTCAGGTAAGCTACTGAAAAGAACAAAAGATTTTTTTAAATGGTCATTTGCACAGTGTATTTGATTTAGGGTCTCTGAATATTTTGTACCCAGTATACAGGATGACAGAATATAAAATTAACTGAAAAAGATGGCTGCATCTGTTGTGTGTGTAGTATCATTTTCAGATAATTAAGTCAGATTTAGGAGGCATTTGAAATGTACATATTAAAAATATTTCGCTCCCTGGGTTGAGGTCTACTCTGTATCCATTCTCTGGGCAAATATGGACTGAGCACTTACTATAGATAATGTAGTCTGGATCCAGGAAAGGAAATGAAAATGGGTAACAGCTGACCCCTACCTCAACTAGGTTTTCAGCCACCCTCTAAAATCTTGGGATCCAAGGTTGTAGGATAAATATAGTGTTTTATCTTTAATCAGAAAAAGTCATCTACAAACTGATGTTTTTCTTATGTGAATTCAAGAAAAAATGCCTTTTGCTTTCCAGAGTGCCAAGATTGGTCAGATCAATATTTTGACAACCTGGGTAACTAACAATTCTATTCCTCTTCATGGCCATCCATATGGGAATGCAACATTTTTGTGTCTAAGATTGCCAGGGGGCAGGTGCAGTGGCTTACACCTGTAATCCCAGCACTTTGGGAAGCTGAGGTAGGAGGATTACTTGAGTCCAGGAGTTTGAGACCAACCTGGGCAACATAGTAAAACCTTATCTCTACAAAAAATCCAAAACACAAATTAGTCAGACATGATGGTACACACCTATAGTCAGGGTACAGAGGTGGAAGGATAATCTGAGTCCAGAAGGCTGAGGCTGCCATGAGCTGTGATCATACCATTGTACTCTAGCCTGGGAGACAGAGAAAAAAAGAAAAAAAAGATTGCCAAGGTACCTCCCTTAAACATACACTCCAGGGACCGTGATGAGGGGTCATTTCTTACATATCTGGAGCAAGACCTCATATCCCACAGAGAAGAGTAAGTCAATTGCCTTTTGGACAATTTCAAAAGGCCTTCAAGTAAAAGGTACTCGTTTGCCTTTTTCTTAATTCCTGAGATGCCCAGCTAGCTAATCCTGTTTTTATGGATTTGTAGTAGTTTTCATCTTAGAAATTAGAGATCATGAGACCTGGAGGATCCTTCAGTGTGACCTCATTTTAACCTTGATGAGAATAAGTGAGATGTGGGCATTTTTAAGTGACTCTCAGATTGTACAACCAGGTGAGAAGGAGAGCCAGTTCCCAAACCCAGGGCTGCAGCCCTGCTTTGCTCCCTGTGGATTGAACTTCTTTTCCTTTTGTATTCTGATTTTTAAAGGCAGCAGCCTCCTTGGAAAGAAGAAAAGCCTCCTGGGTTCAGGCTAACGTCAGCACTTAACAGGTACATGGCTTGTTTCCTAGTAGAAGTCGATTTAAAGAAGGGCTATGCAATTTGATCGTGGAGATAGTCTTTACATATTTGGTTGCCAGGGTGTATTTATGTCAGTCATGGTGTTGTCAAGTGTTAAGAACAAACCCTACCATTTACCTAGTGTCTACAGTGGACAGTCCAGTAGCGTGTAGGAAAATGAGGTCTGGAGTGGGACCACCAAGGTTTGCCTTTTACCATGTGACTTTGAGCAGGTTATTTAACTTCTGGATTCCTCAGTTTACTCACCTGAAAAATGGAAATAATTGTAACTGTATCATGGGCTAGCTGTGAGAATTGAATAAGATAACACAGAGGAAGCATAAGTGTTGAATAAACATCAGCTATTGTCATGAGCACTTTGGGCCAGACTCCAGAGGGAAGAGTTCCACTCAGGTCATTTTTTTTCCAATCCTGACAACACCCTACAAGAATTAGTATTATTTTCTGTCCTAAGGGGTTAAATAACTTTCCAAGACCTCTAGTTAATATGTGAAGAAACTGGGATTTTTTTAAAACAAAAAACTTTCATAGTACAAACATGTAAACATACACAAAGAAAGGAGTTGTGAGAGGCCCTGGACCCACCCCTCAGCTTCCATCCTTGTCAGCATTCTGCCAGTCTTGTTTCCTTTCTACTCCTAACTCCCACCCCAGTTCCATGACTGGCAGTATTTCACCTGGAAATAGCTCTAGCCGTATAAAACTATGAGAGCCTTTTAAAAAGACACATAGGCCGGGCTCAGTGGCTCACACCTGTAATCCCAGCACTTTGGGAGACCGAGGTGAGAGGATTGCCTGAACCCATGGGTTTGAGACCAGCCTGGGAAAGACCTCATCTCTACAATACATTTTTAAAAAAAGTAACCGGGTATAGTGGCACACGCCTGTAGTTCCAGCTACTTGGAATGCTGAGGCAGAAGGATTCTGAGTCTAGGAGGTCGAGGCTGCAGTGGCCGTGCATATGCCGCTGCACTCCAGCCTGGGTGACAGAGTGAGACTCCAACTCAAAAAAAAAAAGATACATAACTACAATGCCATTATTACACTTAAAATTTAAAGCAATTCCTTAATGATCTAATAATCTGTATTCAGATTGTGCCAGTTGTCCACCAGGCACAGTGGCTCACATCAGTAATCCCAGCACTTTTGGAAACTGAGGCAAGAGGATTGCCTGAGCCCAGGGATTCGAGACCAGCCTGGGCAACTTGCTGAGACCTTGTCTCTCCAATAAATAAAAAAATTAGCCGGACATGGTGGCACATGCCAAAAGCTCCAGCTACTTGGAAGGCTGAGATGGAAGAACCACCTGAGCCTAGGAAGTCGAGGCTGCGGTCGCTGTGATCATGCCATTGCACTCCAGCCTGGGTGACAGAGTAAGACTCTGACTCCAAAAAAAAAAAAAATTGTCCCAGTTGTCTCTGCATTTGATTGCTATTCTCTCTAGTCTCTTGAATCTGTAAAGGAGCTGGAGTCAGAACCCAGGTCTCTCTGACCCCTTCTGTTGCACCACACCATTCTCCTCTCATCTGCTTCCTCCCTCATCTGAAGTCTGAGGCTGTCACCTGGAATTGACCACAAAGCACTTTAGGCTAATTTGAAGTTGCTTACAAGTCCTTTGTATGGCAGATAGCTTGCCTTTGGATGAGATAAATAATCATCTCTTGGAGCTGAGACTGTGTATAAATTGGAGCTATCTGAGAGAATTCCAGAAATTTGCTATAGATCAGTGGTTTCCAAACTTTTCTCTTAGGACTACTTTACACTGGTAAAAAACAGTGAAGTCCTCAGAGCATTTGTTTATGTTAATGTATCTGTTGATATTTATCTATTTACATTAGAAATTCAACTGAGAGATTTTTTTTTTTGAATCAGACTCATTCTGTTGCCCAGGCTGGAGTGCAGTGGCCACAGTTCAGGCGATCCTTCCGTCTCAGCATCCCCAGTGGCTCAAACTACAGGTGCATGCTCCTGGCTAATTTTTTTTATTATTTTCGTCTCACTATGTTGCCTAGGCTGGTCTCGAACTCCTGGGTTCAAGAAATCCTAGTGCCTTAGTCTCCCAAAGTGCTGGGATTACAGGCATGAATCATAGTTCCTGGCCTGAGAGGTTTTTATAAGATACTTATTAATGCATTTAAAAATAATAATAATAAACCAACCCATGTTGCCAGGCACAGTAGCTCATGCCTGTAATCCTAGCACTTTGGGAGGCTGAGAAGAGGACTGCTTGAGCCCAGGTGTTCAAAACTAACCTGGGCAACATAGTGAGACCTCGTCTCTACAAAAAATGCAAAAGTTAGCTGGCCATGGTGGCATGTGCCTATAGTCTCAGCTACTTGGGAGGCTGAGGCAGAAGGATTGCTGGAGCCCAGAATATCGAGGCTGTACACTCTAGCCTGGGTGACAAAGTAAGACCCTGTCTCAAAAAAAATAAAGTAAACCTATGTTAACATAATTTATATCTTTTTTTTAAAAAAAGAAACACAGTTATGTTTTTCAAAACAAAAAAAATGTACTGAGGATAGTGGCATAATTATCCCTTTTATACATCTCCTGAAGGTATCTGGGTTCTCCACTCCTGCAATCAGCCCGCAGTGCCTCACATTTAACATAGCTGTCGGGGAAGCCTGCTTGCTTGGGAGAGAGCAAGAGCAAAAAGGACCAAAGGACATTTCAGTATTATTTTGAAAATCGTCTTGACCTTGCATTCTTCTTGGAAGGGTTTGAGCTACTGTAGGTGATCCTTCACTTATGAACGGTTCTTCTCAGATGATGAAAACCTAGTGCAGTTCCCGGGCCACGATGGACACAGCCATCTTCTGGGTTGGGAAGAATAGGAAGGTCTTTAGAGGGGAGGACTGTGAATCAGAAGCCTGCCTTGTTGAAATAGATCACCATGCCATCAGCTTCAAAGCGTAAGGCAAGTTAAAATCCTTGTGGGGGTGAGTAGCCATCAGAGGCTGTTATTGATGTAAGGAACTCCTAGTAGGCCGTAACCCCTTGTTTTGTGGATGATTCCAAATCAGTTACTCTTGCCTACTTTCCTGTTGGTAATATTTGGCCATGACTATTGCATTTTCATTATGGAAAAATGAATTTTCAGCCAGACTTTCTCCTCCCTTCCTTAGGACCAATTCAGATTCTGCTCTTCATACAAGTGCTCTGAGCACCAAGCCCCAGGACCCCTATGGAGGAGGGGGCCCGTCAGCCTGGCCTGCCCCATATACAGGTAAGACACACAGGCCCCTACTAACAACAGCTGTGCTTTCTCATTCCATCCTGTAGGAATGAGGAGAGAAAAGCTTTAGCAGCATGTGGGCCTCCCCTAGATAGTAATCCTCAAGAGGAGAAACCGCAGCAGGGAGGTGTGTGTGTGTTGAGATGCAGTTCTGTGGAGCTCATGGTATCCTGTGTGTCTGTCCTGCCTGTCCCGTGGTACCTCTCCCTGCTGGAGCTTCCTAGCCCTGTGTTTCCTGCTCTCCCATAGCATTGGCCCTCTTCTGGTCCCTCATCAGCTTTTACTTGGACTCTTAGGATAACTTCCTAACTGGGCTCCTCATTTCCAGTCTTGTATCCCCTCAGTCCAGTTCCATGTTGGGTTCACTGAGGGTCCTCTTTTCCCACCCAGGATCTGAACAAACAGAACTAAAACCAGACGTGACAGATGGAGCTAATTAATTAACACCTTTATACTGATAAGAGTGGGTAGGAGGAAGTGACCTCTCTCTGCAGTCTGTAGGCCTGTTATGACAGAACCTGGGAGTGAGGCAGACTCCTGCGGAGTGGCCGGCAGCACGATAGCCCTCAGGAGGAGTAGTCCGTAAGACAAGAGCAGAGCAGATGCCTGCTGTCTGAGGGAGACATGCCCCTGAGAAGGAGAGAGAGATAGATCGAAGCTCCCTGGTTCCTCCTCTTTGCTGGTTAGATCACCATTCTACCTCTCCTGAGGCGGAGTGATGAAAGGAGTGGACAGAGGCCCGAGTGATCCAGAAGTGAGAAGGCTTACTCATGCCGTCGTACCCCATCTGCTTCCAGAGTGAACCCAATTCTCATCATCTTACTCTCCTGCTGAAAATCCTCAATGCCGCCCCCTCACCTCGAGAAGAAAGAGCCCAAGTCTCCCAGCAACTACGGCCTCAGGGCTGGCTCATGCCCGCTGCTCTCCTTTCTCTCCCTGCCCCCACCCTCACTCCCCAGTCTGCCATGTGAACCACCGCAGGTTCTGTTAGTGTTTCCACCTGTTCTCATCTCTTCCTCTCTTGGCGCACTCCCAGCCTTCTGGCTAAACACTCTCTCCCTCTGTAATCCTCAGCGTGGATATGTCCCCGTTTCTGTGGCACCATGCTTGACCTTATGCCCTCTCAGCTCAGAATTGCCCATGTCCTTCTAACAGCTCAAAGCTCCCACATGTAGAGGACTCTCTTAGCACCTGCGACCCTTGATGACTTTTTTGTGTGGACATGCTTCTCTTTCTCTACTCTGGATTTCTTGAAGACGGTATCTTAATGGTCTGCTTCTCCCCAGCCCCTAGCACAGTGCCCAACACAGAGGAGCCTGCATGAATGGAGAAGTGCGGAGAGTCACACACTGGCTCACACGTGCATAGCACCAGCCAGAACACCTGCACACAAAATGGCACATTTTTCACTCAGACACATTCTGAGCCTGTCTTTCTGCGGTTTATAATTTAGGAAGAGCAATAGCCTTGAATTATCTATTCCATATGCAAATTGACTCTTGTCCACAAACAGAGATATGGGTTTGGTCTTGAAATGGGCATGAATAAGTCTTCAGCCAAGATATCAGCTTTGGGACTATTTCAAGTCTAAATAGTCTTTATTTCTTCCAAAGAGAACATTTATCGTCTTATTCCTTGCATATGGTAGGGATGGGATTTAATAATAATTGCTGTATTTGTTCCCTTGGTGCAATTCAGAGCAGACTCTATTTGCCTAAATGATTGTTTGCTTGTAAACTCTGGGAGCTTTCAAACTTGATTAGGCGCATCTACCAGTGTTTCCACACGTGGGAGTATGAGCGTCAAGTTGGCAGTGATATTGGAATTGGATATGGGTCCATAGCTCACTGCGGAGAGGAGCAGAGTGTGTGGGAAGAGGGAGTAGTTTAGTTTCAGGATAGGTAGAGATGGGAATATATAAACAAAGCCTAAAAAAAGCAGAGGCTGTCATCAGTGGGGTGCCTGTGAGTGCAGCGGGATCTTAGTCTCCCCGGACTGGGAGCGAGCCAGTGGCACAGAATTTTGCCGAGAATTTCTGTCTCTGCCAGTTCTTCATTTGCAAGGCCCTTTGTACAAAGTTCCCACTTCTCTAGAAAGGGCCGGAGGCCTAGAGAGAAAGGAATCACAGGTAATTTAAGTAAGGAGTTTTTGAGACTTTCATGCCAAGAAAAAGAAAGTAGCTAAAGAAAGCAATTGCCTGAGTTGAAGGAGTCACAGGAGTGATGCAGCCTCTTAGGGATGAGGTGAGAGCGTCAGAAGGTGTGAGGGTGGAATAAGAAAACCCAAAGAATGTAAATGGTGGTGGGTAGACAGAGCAATAAGAAAGCAAGTAGAAAGAGAGAAAAGCCCCAGAGCAGGGCTCCTGGGTTGACTTGAGATTGCAGTGGTCTCTCCTTCTCAAAGTTGGATGTTGTTGGGCTGCGATATATGCCAACCGTGGAAGGTGGGCTGACCTCCAGCTCGGATGTCTAAGCAGTGTGCCTGTCCTGCAGGGCCTTACAAGTATAGCAGAACTCAGAAACATGTCCTAATATGGATGTGTTTACATGGGAAAGCCAGTGTGTTTAAAATATTATTCAAGTCTCCAAGGATAGGAATTATTTCTGGAGAATTATATTTGTTGGTAGAAGCTATTTTAAATAGTTTCATGTATTTTCCCCCTTTAATTCATTAAAGTTTTTCATTTTCTTTCCCTTTGGATTTAAAAATATCAGTTAGCTTTGCAAAAAGGTATTTCGTATTATAGGATCAACCAAATAAAGTAAAGATTTAAAAAGTAATGGGAAAGTATAATTGAAGCCTAGAACTAGGTTTTGTAGTAGGAACAATTATAACTATTCTTTCCCTGGGAATCTTTCCTGAGCACAGTGATGTTGTTGTTGTGAGCATCTGCTCATAGCTTAACTACATGAGCAATAAACTATGAGACATTCATGAGCAGAGGTTTGTGTCCCAAGAACATAAAGCCATTAGTCTGATACATGTTGAGTAATTTTCATAACAGTTATTGGGTTGCATGACAATTAGGCATAAATGAGAAGCTGTTGAAATAAATGACAGAAATAAACTGTTAACCAACCAAACAAGATTTTTATAATTTCTCTCTTCTGGTTTAATTATCCAGAATCTATAGAGAAATGTTGACCCTTTCCCTGGCAGCATGTGCTGTTTAACGATCATTTCACACACACATGCAGGCAGGCAAACACAAGGGCTCTCGGGGACTCTTGCCCTGTCCCACAGCCTAGGATTGTCTGCTGACTCCCACCTCTCATCTTCAGCATGTGGAGGAGGGAGCTGAGGTGGTCCTTGCTCTTTCAGGGAGCAGTCTAGAGCCAAGGGCGGAGGTGATGTTGTCTTCTCCACATCCAGAGTTGTAGCCGCTGAGTGTCATCATCTTTGGGGACTACAGTCCTCAGATCCTCCTCTTGGGGGTGCAGTATGCCTTGGACCCCAGTGACCTTTCAACCAGCTAATAAGGTTTGACCTGCAGAGTTAAGGTTTAAAATGCAGAAGATGTAAAAGGCAATTAACCCTGAAAGATCTGTTGATCTCATGGATGGGATGGGGAGTTGGGGCACAAGGATTCTAGGTCTAAAGAGGGGCAAAAAGTGTATCACCTGCAGGCAAAAGGACCCAGAATGGGGAGCCTGAAGCACCAGAGGCTTCTGTTAGGACACACTCTTGTGGATCTCCCCCTTGCCTTTCCCTATACTTAGCAAATGAAGACTATGTGAGGAGTTATTTTAGATTTGTCAGGCACGGGAGCGCATCGAATGAACATGGCCTCAGTTTCGTTTAGTTAGAAGAGGTCAGCCCTTCATGGCTCTGAGGCTGCGAGGCTTCCTGGAACACAGATGCAGCCCTGGACATGCTGCCCCAGCCCTGTGGGAATGATACAAATTAGTTTCTTCTGTTTTCAGATATGCAGTTACAACTCGTTCCTTTTTATTTTTAACCCTTTATTTATAGCGATATCCTGTGATATTAAATTTTTTTTATTCAGTAGTAAAAATCCAGGTTTGGGTATTTTGCTGACATGTTAGCTTAGTGCTCACGTACCAGTTTCGCCAGCACCTTCCTCCTGGTCACCTAAGCACTTAACCCGGGAGTTATATTTAATGACTCTGTTCCCATACCCCACACACCCATCCAGCAGCTGAGTCCTGCTCATCTGATCCCTGAAGTGAGTCTCAGGCCTGTTCTGGTTTTCTCTCCTGACTACCAATGCCCTGCTGTGTTTCCTCGTGGCCTCCCTGCCTTGAGGCTCTCTCCTTTCAATCCATCTCATACTTTGCTGCAAGAACAGTCTATATAAAGCTTAGCTCACATCCAGTCACTTCTCCAACCAAGACCTTCCCCCACATCATGCCAAACTACTGGCGGAGTCCTTCATTCCTCCATCTTGTGCCACAGCCAGATTATACCATTCCCTGCCCTGCCAAACACACCTTCCTTCTCACCCCTTCCCCTCCACTCTACTCCCTGCTCCACTCCACATCCTCCTACTCCTCCTCTCCCTCCTCTCCCTTCTCCTTGTCTTCCTCCTTCTCCTCCTGTCTTTGCACTGGGGCATCCCTTCAACCTCACTTCCAGTTGCCTAAATCCTTCCAGGTACAGCACGTTGGTAGGGACATGGACATTCTGAAGGTACACAGGCCAGAATTCTAATCCTAGACTTGCTAGCAGTGTGATCTTGGGGGTAATAATAGCACCTACTCATAGGGTTGCTGTGAGGATTCCATTAGGTCACCTTTGTAAGTGCTTGGCACACAAAACCAACAGTAATGGTGGCTGTTGTTATTATCATCTTCACTGTTGTTCTTCAATGCATGGCTCATGTGTCACCTCCTTCATGAAGCCTCCCTTGTGATCCAGTCTGACACAGAAGGTGACACTAATGTGATATCACGTGGGGTGTCTGCCAACCACTCGGGCAGTTTTATGTGGTAGCTCTCACTTGAGTCCTCATGTTCCAGGGACAGGTCAGCCTTAGTCAATAAACTTTTGGTGTCTTGATGAAGAGGTACTTTAACAAACCACATGAGATTGCTGTCTAAAGCTGAGTTTTAAATTTTAATAGAATAATCACTTTTTAGTGATCAGAATGGTCAAATTCCCTGCACTTTCTCTATATGAGGGTCCCAAGAAAGCCAAAATATGAATCAGAGGCTTCTCTCTCTCCTTTTAACTGTAGAGCCTGACTGTAGAACCACATCTTTGATCTCTCTGAACATCATTTTCTGATGTTCCCCTGTTCACATTGCCTTTCTTTGGATGTATTAAATCACTGATTAAGTAAGCTACAGCCTTGTCCAAGTCTCTCAAAGAATGAGCCAAGGACCATCTGCAGTAGCGTCCCCTGAGATGTTTATTTAAGTTGTAGATTCCTCGGCCAATTCTCACTCCTTCTGAATCAAAATCTTTGAGGGTTGGGCCCAACACTCTGCATTTTAACAAGCTTACTCAAGTGGTCTTTATGTGCACTAAGATAAAGTTTTCAATCACTAGTTTAGATTCTGTTTCCAAGGGCCTAAAAGAAATTCTGTCTTTGTGAGTGTGCTTAATTAATTGACCTCTTAGTTTTCCTGGGGACTCTCAGTGATGCCTCTGCCCCTGGGCTCCACTAAAACCTTACATCTTCTGCCTGTGCTGTAGGATTTGCTCCCATGTTCGATCTTCTCACCTTTTTGACACCGTGTCACCTAGCCCCAGCTAGCACTTAGTGCAGGAACTTATTAGATATATATTGAATGAATGATGATTATTAGACATTTCATTTAAATTTTATAGACTAATCAGGTTAACTTACAGATTTACCTTAGCCAGAAACTTATCTAAACTTTAAATAAGCTATATTTAAATGCTTGGAACTTAAAAATGTATCCTGATTATGTGCTGAAAACTCATCGGGAATATTTAATTGCTCCTGGGGGAATGGTAAGATATTACATTCTTGGCACAATTCTTTAGTTTTAGCTTAGAGCAATAGGAAATACTATTTGTCATCTGCAGTCTAACTTCTGGATTAAAAATATTTTATTCAGCCAGAATTTATTCCAAGTCAATTTTAAAACCTTTGTGCATAACTATCACATATATACCTTAAGTTGATTTAGACTCCAAATACATTTTCTTCTTAAAAATAACTTGATTGAGGCCAGGCACGGTGGCTCACACCTATAATCCCAGCACTTTGGGAGGCCGAGGTAAGGGAATTGCCTGAGCCCACGGGTTCGAGAACATCCTGAGCAACTTGGAGAGACCTCAACTCTACAATAAAAATCAAAATATTAGCCAGGCATGGTAGCACACGCTTATAGTTCTGGCTACTTGGAAGGCTGAGGCAGGAGGATCACTGGAGCCCAGCAGGTCGAGGCTGCAGTGACCGGGAACATGCCACAGCACTCTAGCCTGGGCAACTGAGTGAGACTCCAACTCAAAAATAAAATAAAATAACTTGATTGTGCAAGAAATATATATAACAACATATATAACAACATACAGTATGGAATGTTCACTTTGTTCCCTTAGACACCCATGGTAAGTTTCAAACAGTGATGCAGACTTTTTGAGTTACCTGTCCTTACCCCATGCCACAGCATTTGGAAGAGAGTTCCAATCTAGACTTCTTTACTTTGTGATTTTAATAGAGGTTCCCAGACTCTAAAAATTGTTCTTCTCTCAGGACAGAGACAGTAAGAATATTTAAGTCTGAGAGTTTTCAAGGGAAAGAAAAGTAGATAGGTACCAGCTTTTTAGACTCAAATTAGCTACATATATTTTTAGTACAAAAGCTAAAACATCTTGAATGAACATCTATGTATCAAAACTGTCTTAAAATTTTCAAAATTCTATTTCCAATCAGAAAGAGCTACTAATTCGTAAACAAATGAAAATGAAAGCAGCGCATAAGTGTTTTTTTTCTTTCCCACTAGGTTTCTGTGATGGTGAGAATGATGGACATGGGGAAGGTATGAACTGGGGTCACCTACTTGTGGTGGAGTGGGATGTGACAGTAGTGTATGTAACCTTTCAGTAGCTTAACTAGTTGATATTCATGTTTTTGGGCTCCCCAAAATGCTGATAACTGCTGACTGCTGGTTGGCTTACTTTTCAGAGAGCCTCTAGAAAACTAACCATGACGAAGGCTATGAGAAAGGAAGTATGTGACTGCGTTACAAAGGTTCCTTGTTATTCAAGTCCCCACAGTCCCGTGGTCACAAGGTTGTGCAAGGGAGCAAAAGTTGTAATCACATGAAAATATGAATGAATTGATCACTTAAACAGTTAATTATTCCAGTATTCTTTCCTCTTCAACAGTCTCTGCCCATTTAGAAAGTCTTTATGAGTCAATAATTGACAAACAATGCAAAGAAAATGCAAATTGACTGCAAAATGAATTTGCAAATGTTGCAGAAGATGCTGAGTTTCATAAAACCATTTAAAATAATGATAGAGATCTGTGGAAATGGCACTCAAAGCCATTGATAAATGAGAATCCAGCACAATTCATTTATTCACTCAGTACTGGGCACTGTTTTCTTCTCTCTAAATCTTATAATTTGGAATTTAATTTTTGTAATCTGAAAATGAACAACTAAGTTAGGTTTCTATGTCACAGAGATAAGAATCATGAAGGATATGATAAATGAGGAGTATCTTGCAAGAAACCCAATTCTCTGTCATTGTCATGCACTCTCATTACGCATGCATGTGTCTATCATTGTCATGCATGCTCATTTTCTGGGCAAGCTCTTTTAGGCCATGAATAAAATCATGAAAAGTTAAAAAATCAGTAAACATGGAATCTATTATAACAGAAATAAAGAAATGGCTTCAGGGTTATTTGCATTCTCCCCAGTGAATTCTTTGAAGTCCCAACAAATTTTGAATACGAAAAGAGACTAAAAACAATGAACCTCTCTAAAAAAGCAATGCCCATTAAGGCATTGGAGTCTGTCCCAACTCTTCCTATAACCAACCCCTTTTGAGAAATAACCTTGAGTTGTGAAGCCGCCTTACTCAGCCCTTGAAACTTTTTCTGGCATTCAACAGTTCCTTTCAGAGCAATTTTTTATTATTGATTTCCTATTGTGTTGGTTTATAAAGGGTCTCAATGCCTGTTTTTCTTAGTTTTAGAGTTTGTTGAGAGTCAGCTGTAGGGTCAGCATTTTCCAAACACTATTTTAGGTACTCTCTGGCAGAGAATAGAACAAAGGCCCTGCCTTCATGGAGCTTACATTTCTAAAGCAGTTTATGTTAATGATTAGACCAGGAAACATTTGAAGAAAATAAAATCAACAAGGATGTTGACAAAATAAACTCTTCAAAAGAGAGTGATTTGAATATTAGGATTAAGAGAGACACGTGGGAACCCTGATTCGGGTTGGACTATTTGAGCAGAAATGACCAATGACCGTTAGTTATGGTGGTGCCAGGAGGTGAACTATGAAGAGCATTGTCAATATTGCATTCTTAGTGATGCCAGAGAAGTTATGCCTCCTCCATACTTAATGCATTCCAGGAGTCCACTACTGAAGTTTTATTTTAAGTTTTATTCAATAAAAGATAAACTTATTTTAGAGTTTTTGTTTCAAACTGTCTTCTCAGAATTCAAGCCGTCTACTCTGAAGTTTTAGGCTCTGTTTTAAGTGACTTCTTTCTGGGGTTTGTGATCCTTGGGTACCTGGCCACCCTGTGTGGGGCTCAGACAGGAACATCATGACAGTCACACTGGAGCTTATGTGGTCCCTGGACCCTAACAGCTTTGCTATTTCTGAGAAGTCATCAGTGTCTCTAATGTTGAATTTCCTTCCTGACATCAGATCACTTAATTCCTGAGGGCCAGCCCTTGTTTTCTGGTCTCTCTCTGAGAACAAAAAGTGTTCATTGTACTGTGACTCAGCATTCTTGTTTTACCTGGTGTGACTGAGAGTATTAAAGCAGAAAGCCCTGGAATGGTCCTTCATACAAAGCCAGGTTGTTTTATAACATCGAAAAGCCGACGGGTCAGCTGTCCAGCCTCACATCCTCTGGGTTGCTGATTCCTATTTGTCCCCTGCTTCCAGCCCATTACCCAATAGCTTCACCACCACCATGTCTTCCACATAATACTTCTCTTCTCCATTTGCTACTTTCCTCATTTCATCTTTCCTATATTATTATGAAGAGATTGTCCCTCTTCTTCCATTGTCCCCTTTGCCAAGCTTGCAGAGCCCTCTCTGACCTGGCCTCGACCTTCCACATTTTATTCCAACCACTCCTCTCCACTAGGTCTACACTCCGGTTGAAAAGATCTGCTCTGCTCAGTCGTTGGCCACTGCTTCCTTTCTCTCCAGGCCTTCTTCCTTATCTTCCCCTCTCTTGGAACACTCCTCTCCTGTGTCTCTAAAGGGCTTCCCTCAGTGCCCAGCTCCAGAGCCAGCATCCCTCCTCTGCCTCTACTTCAACAGCATGGTACCTTGGCTCTCTGGGGCTTCCACTACTTTCCCCTTCCAGTGATGGGTATGTATGTGCTACCCTTACCCTCTGACTAGATTATTACTTCCTTAAAGGTTGAATTCATGTCTTACTCATCTCTGCATTCCCCAGAGTAATGCTCAAAGCGCATCCCTAGAAGACGGTTCTTAAATAAATCATTTTTATTTGTTAAATAAATTTTGTTTGTAAAGATAATCTGTTCAGCCAGAGGTAGGTAGAATGCCTGCCTTTTAATGCAATGACTGTGCTGCTCTTTTTTTCTTCAGTAGTGTCTTTCCCTGGTCCATTGAAAGAAGAGAATCTGTTAAATGTTCCAAAGCCACTGCCAAAACAGCTGTGGGAGACCAAGGAGGTGGGTGAACAGGATTCAACTGTGTCTGTTGTCAAATGTTTGTACCTCAGAGGTCACAGAAAAATCCTCCAGAGGTGAAAGCAAGAGGAATTGGGGGAGAAGGAGGAGAGGATTTGTCTGGTGACAGAGGTAGGAAGAATATACCTAGGAATGGTATTTCAAGTAAACATTATCACAGCTGTGTCCCTGAATTCGGACAGCAATCTCTTGGCTTCCTAATTTTTGTTGTCAATTTACTCATTCAAAACAAAACAAAATAAAACCTGCTCAGGCCCTGTCTCTTATATGTGTTGCTAAAAGTTCTGAAACCTGGTTATAAGTCATAGGCAGATTTTTCTGTTTTGTTGCCAAGGCTTTCCACCAGTCTCCAGCTCCTGTCCAGAATGACGGATGTGTCAGATAACCCTTTTTCAAATCAAGGGCATTTGACCTGAATCCTCCAAGAGTCAGTAAACAAGCCATTTGTTTTACTTTGATTTCTATGAGCCTCTGAGTATTTGTATCTAAAATTGTGCTAGCTGACTCCCACCGTGGCTTTTTGTAAACCTTACCCTCTGTGGAAGAGAAGGGGGTCCCAAGGTACTTGACTTGGCCTCTCTTCCCATAGGGAAGCCATGTTGGCTTTTAAAGAAAACAGTCGATCTATTCCAGCCCTCGATGCACTGCTGCAATTGCTAATATTGTCTTTGAACTTAACTCTCCCTGCCTGCAAAGGATCCCTGTGGTCCAGTTCAATCTTCTTTTGCCAAATCTTCCAAAGTCCCTGTTAGCATTAGGGTGGTCTTCAAAAGTTTCTTGTAAAGACAAGATGTATGTTATGGTTCATCTTTTGGGGGTTAAAAGAAAATATGATTTTAAAGTCACATATTTAAACATAGGAGAAGCAGCCATGCTGTGTGTTTTTGGCTTTGAAAAGCAAATGGTTTTGGAGACTTTTATCAGAGGACAGATATCTTCTCTAGCAAAGAGGGCAGTGGCACCCATTCCTCCCTGAGCACCAGAGATTGTTCTCTCTGGAAAGAGGTGTTCATCTCCCTTGGTTCTTGTGGCTTTATAGGACTCATTCCTGTCCCTACCCCTACCCCGAGCTTATATTCTAGTTAGAATACTTATTTTCTTCTGACATTCATTCTTTACCCTGTTTTGTTCTTCTAGTTCCTTTTTTCTCTCTCAGGTCAATTGGAAAAGGAATGTTTATTTTAAAAATCTGTATGTAAAACATTGACCTTTTTGAAGGAAATAATATTCATCTAGAAGATAAGTTAAAGCATCAAATTAAGAAGATGTAATAATGTCATACCTCCCTTATGCCTGGAAGTTTAAGAGTTTTAAAAGTTTAAGAGTTTTAAAAGTCTTGGCCAGGTGCAGTGGCTCACATGTATAATCCCAGTGCTTTGGGAGGCCAAGGTGGGAGGATTGCTTGAGCCCAGGAGTTTGAGAACAGCCTGAGCAACACGGCGAGATCTCATCTCTACAATAAATAAAAAATTAGCCGGTTGTGGTAGCACACACCTGTAGTCCCAGCTACTCAGGAGGCTAAGGCAGAAGGATCACCTGAACCCAGGAAGTGGAGGCTGTGGTGAGCCTTGATCATGCCACTGCACTTCCAGCCTAGGACAGAGTGAGACACCAACTCAAAAGAAAAAAAGAAAAAAAAGACTTGTCACAATTTCAGTGGCCGCTATGAGGATGCTATTTACATGTGCCAGCTCTTACTTGTGCTGACCAGAGCTCCAAGATCCTTATGAAGTCACTTTGCAAAAACTTGAATTGACCTTTACAGTGAGTAAGCGCAGCTTTCTTTGTCTCTTCCCAGATTCAGTCCCTGTCAGGGCGCCCTCGATCCTGTGATGTCGGAGGTGGCAAGTAAGTGATGTTCTTTCTGTGTGGGTTTCAAGGACTGTCCTGAAGGTTTTCCAGAGGAGAAAGTCTTACTTTTTGTCACAGAACTCTCAGAAACATAACTTGCTGTATATAAGTTGAAAGTCAACTGCATTTTCATAAAAACAACTGTTCACTTTTGATACACATACTCCATTTGTTTAATATAATAAATTACATAATTGCAATAAGGAAACTGCCAGAAATATGTTTGAGAATCACACAACTGGCTCTTGGTAAACATGCAACTCTCTGGTGGAAGCAGCAGCAGAGGCAGAAGTGCACAGGCGTCAAGAGGGGCGATAGGGTCAGGGTCGGTAGCTCAGCCTGTAAGCCCAGCACTTTGGGAGGCCAAGGCGAGTGGATTGCCTGAGCCCACGGGTTCAAGACCAGCTCGGGGAAGTTGGCGAGACCGCATCTCTATAATAAATCAAAGATTAGCCAGGTGTGGTAACGCATGCCTGTAGTTCCGGCTACTTTGAAGGCTGAGGTGGAAGGATCACTAGAGCCCAGCAGGTTGACACTGGGGTGGCTGTAGTGTGTCACTGCACTCCAACCTGGGCAATAGAGTGAGACTCCAACTAAAAAAACAAAAGAGAGAGAGGCAACAGCCCCGAGCCTGCACCGGCCATGGGCATGTTTCCAAAGAAAAGGAAAGCATCAGTTAACCTGGCAACTTGGTTATATAGGAGTTAATTAAGGGAGTTTCTATGAATATACTTAATGCCACTGAACTGTACACTTAAAAATGGCTAAAATGGTGAATTTTATGGTATATATATTTTACCACAATTGTTTTTTTTTTTAAGTTGAAGTCTCACTCTGTCGCCCAGGCTAGAATGCAGTGAGAGAGAAAGAGAAAGAGAGAGAAAGGGCACGAGCAAGCAATAATGAAACCCTTGCATTTACAGACAACACAGAAGAGCCAGTTGGTTCCTCTTCCTCAGTGGAATGGTACAGACAGTTGCTGGGAGGCCCCGCTCCTCCCAGCACTGTGGCTGCTGTGAGAACTCTCTGCCATGGGTCTTCATAGAGAGGACCCCTTGGGACTTGATGGGCTGTGTCTGAGAGAGCACCAAGAAAGCTGCATGGGGCTGTTTATCACAGCATCCCTCAATGCGGTCCCGTGGTGTGGAACCAAAGCCAATTCAGAAACGACAAGTCTTCCTGGCGCCAAAGTGATGTGGTCTGCAAATGAGGCCCTTGCATCCTCTGACGTAGTACAAGCATAGATTTTAGAGGGTCTCTGGATGAACTAAATCAACTTCAGGCAATGTTGAATTATGAGTTCCCCACAAAACTTACTGAGTATTTCGCAGCAATATATACCTGGAGTTCAGACAGTCTTTTTGACTGATTAAATATAAACTCATGTGATGAACAGCCAGCTGAGCCAAGATGAGGGGTGACCTTCTCTTCCAAAAGTCAGAAAACCTACTGGGACACACAGCTGGACAAAAGACATGCCTGCTTAAGGGGGGCAGGACCTGCCCATGGATCAGGTCAAGATTCTCCTCAAGGGAGTCTCTCTGAACCTATTCTGGTTCAGGGACTGCCCAATAAAAAGAAAGAAAAAAAAAGATTTTCCTCAAGAACCAATTTTGGCTCTGAATGCCCACATGACAGAATTAGGCTGCAGTTCTTTAACCCGGGGAGTTTTAAAGCAGGTGTTCCTTAGGTAAAGAAAGTTGTCTTTTGTGCTCCTCTGTTACAGGTAGAATTCCATTCAGTGACTCCTATTCCTGCAGGTATTTATTGACCCCCTAATCCTAGGCCCTGGATAGAACAATGAACACAATAGATCCAGGCTCTGCTGTCAGAGAGGGAATGCTCTAGTGGAGCGAGAGAGGCAGAGTAGACAAAGCACTCAAATGTATGTCATGTGTTGGTAAAAGCTATGGAAGAAAAGCAAGCAAGGAGCCAGGCCCCGAGGAGCACTAAGGAGGCCCTTCTGATCAGATGCTATATGACCAGAATCTGGAGTAAAGCGAGGGGGAGAGCCTTCTAGACAGGGACTGGAGGCGCAGATCCCCATGGCAGGAGTGGGCCTGAAGTGCAGGAGGTTTGCAGAACTTGGATCTGACTCCAAGATCAGAGTCATTGAGGGGTTTTGAACCGGGGAAAACAGTACCTGCCTTATCTCAGATCCGGTGCTGACTCCAGTAGGTAGCAACTGCATTTGGAAAGTGACCAAGTGGGTTTTTCTCAACAGCAGAGGACTTGTTGAGAGCAGTCTTCTGACTTGGTTCCCAATTGTTTTTTTCCATCCTTGTTCTGTGCCTAGACACTACTGCTGGCTACCATCCCCCCTTCCCCTCTCTGCTCTCATTCCCACCTGATCATCCATGGGTCTTCTCTCAGCTAGAAAGTCCATCTGCTGTCGTGGTGAGCATCACTGGGGGCTCCATTTTACTTTCTGGTCCTTGAACTTGAACCCTACATTCGGTTCCCATACATCCGGCCATCTAAAAACAAGATTGACGTTCAGTACTTCTGTGACCAGAATCAGCTTTCCTTCTCACCATCCAATTGGATACTTTTCCTGCTGTCTCATTTCCTTCCCAGCCTCCACAGTCATCCCAGTCCCACTTTGACCAAGAGAAGAGAGGCTGGTAGGAGTGAAGGCTCTGCTTCCTCCTGCTACTGATTCTTCTCCTAGTCTACCAGGGACACAGGGGTTCCTCCTTTTCAGGGTGGGCCACTGTACTCATTTCCTGGCCCTTGTCCCACTGGCCTTTCTGAGGCCTCTCCACTACTTATCCTTCCTGCCCATTTCCGGAATTCTCAGTTACACCTTTTTTTTTCCCCCAAAGACTGGTCTCACTCTGTCACCCAGGCTGGAGTGCAGTGGTTCAATCATAGCTCACTGTAGTCTCAACCTCCTGGGCTCAAGCAGTCCTCCTGCCCCAGCCTTCCAAAGTGCTGTGATTACAGGCATGACCACCTGACTGAGCAATGCTTTTGGAGAGTGCCTATTCTTGAGTCCTTCTTACTGCCTGCCTACTCCTGAACCCCCTGTGGCCTGGCTTCCACCTCCTCCGTCCTGCCTCTACAGTGTCAGTTGCCTTCTCTACCTGAGAGAGAGAGAGAGAGAGAGAGACATCCCTACTACATGTCTCAAAACATTTAAAATAGAATTCTTGACCATGCATGGTGGCTCATGCCTGTAATCCCAGCACTTTAAGAGGCCGATGCAAGAGGACTGCCTGAGCTCAGGAGTTCAAGACCAGCCTGGGCAACACAGTGAGACTTCATCTCTACAAAAAAATTTTAAAAATCAGCTGAGCATGGTACACATGCCTGTAGTCCCAGCTTCTCGGGAGACTGAGGAGGGAGGATCGCCTGAGTCCAGGAGGTCAAGGCTGTAGTAAGCCATGATCATGCCACTGCATTCCAGCATAGGCCACAAAAATTAAAAATAAAAATAAATTAAAATGGAAACAGATGGTATGAGGGCCTCCTTTGTACTCTTGCCCCAAGCCTGAGCATTTGAGGGGCAGGCCCTGACCATAAGCACACGCCTTGCTTTTTCTTTATTACACCACTAGCAGGTAGCCTGGTGCCTGGCACACGGGACTAGCCAACAGATTTTGATAAATGAATGGCACCATGTCTTACTTAAAGGTTTATGGAGACTGTAATTTTAAAAATATATCTTGGAAGGTAACTAGTTACCCAGTGATACTCTTTTTTGGTAGGAAAGATAATTTAGAAACCCAGCAAGAGTAACCATATAAATATAAGCACGCCTCACATCTCATATAGTAGTTTTTAATTTTCAAAGTCCTTTTGCAACCATAATCTAATATGTTCTTGAAAGTATTCCTATAACATAGGCATAGGTGATATCATTAGTCCAGTTTAATAGGTAAGGAAAGTGTATTTCAAAGAGGTGAAGCCAAGGAGCCACGTTCTTAGGGTAAGAGAGAGCCAACACTAGGACTTCAGTCTTTGATTGTCACTGCTCTTATTTGACAACGAAAAGGTATCAGACAGGATACCACATGCATTATAGAAAATAATACTTCTCTATTTTCAGTGCTTTTCCACATAATGGCCAAAACATAGGCCTCTCACCATTTCTGGGGACCCTGAACACTGGAGGATCATTGCCAGATCTAACCAACCTCCACTACTCAGTGCCCCTGCCGGCCTCCCTGGACACCAATGACCACCTCTTTGGGAGTATGAGTGTGGGCAACAGTGTGAGCAACCTCCCAGCTGCTATGACTCACCTGGGGATACGAAGCTCTTCTGGTAAGTGTCTCTCGCTTAAGAAGGACCTTGGCCATGTCTCCTTGGGCTTCATCACAGGTGAGCCCCAGCCCTGCAGCCTGTTCAGTGAAGCATTGAGTGACTGCATCTCAGCTTGAGATGAGGAGGTTCCTGTGTCTCCTGACCCTGCTGGCATGTGCTTTGGTGGTTCTTTTCCTGCTGGGTTTGATGAGTGTGGGGCAGCTCTGCTGAAACTTGTTATTTACTGCATTCGTTGGCCACTGCATCCAGGGGATTTGGGGAATAAGATTTGGGAGTCAAGAAATAAGCATCCATTCTGTGATGGCTAAACAGTGTTAGTGGCACTTACCACCATATGATGGTAGTTTATAATTTAAGCTATCTTTCTAGATTCCTCCAATTTCCCACTGGATTTCAAAAGAGAATATTTGAATTTTAGAAAACATACAATGGATATGTATATACTTAATATATGGATATGTAGTAGAAATCTACCACAGTTCCAAATTAATGATTCAAATTTTTAGAAGTACTTAAAGATGTGGCATTAGCTATATTTAAATGCTACCCATAATGTGACTGGGGTGTTACTGTACAGGTTGATTGTCCCCAGCTCAGCCCCCATGCTGAAACATGACTACATTTGTTTGAACCCTTACAGATACTCTTGCCAATGTTTAGGGCAGATGGTAAATCCTCTTACTCCCAGTGGTGCAGTACAGCCCATGGCTGTAACATCCTTCCAAGAATTGTGCTGTGGGATGTTTCATTTGGAAGGGCTCCTCAGTGATGGTGTCCAGGTGGAGGAAGTGTTTGCTGGTGTCCATTCTGAGTTCATTAAGACTTATTCTTGCAAATCAGAACTCATCGCCCAAATGAGAGCAGGCCCCTTCAGGGTGGTCACCTTGAGGGTTATCCAATGATTGCAGTAATTGATACTGCCTTTGTGCAGCCTAATTTTAGGTTTGGAGAATTGATTCTAGAGAACCCCTTTACTTTTGTGTTTTGAGTTTTGGGGGTCATTTTACTACCCTTCATAGTAGGAAGCCTATCTACTGAGTCTGGGTTTTGATATTTAGAAAGCAAGTCATGTATGGGCAGACTTAATGTACAAAGTGAGTGACTAAGCCACATGATGCTGTTTTGTGTCCTGTGTGTTCCAGAGAATATGCTCTATGGTGTCTAGGATGTTCTTTATAGTGAAAACACCAGTCTCTCATCTCTGAGTTTACGTGATTTGATTCGTAACAGGAACTCTCAAAGCCTTTTTGTTTTCTAGATTCAGTCTGGGCAATTTACCTTTCAGGTGAATTCTCAATGAACAAGGAAATCTGAGGTTTCAGGAATAAATCAACCTTAGTACATAGCTCCTGTGGGTCTTAGGGAAACTGGCATGTTCATGCCTTTGACACTTTGCTTCACACTGAAAATGTCATGTGTAATCACTGACTATCTTCCTGTAAAAAGCATTATTTTGTCCAGAACATGTCAGAACCAATGTTAAGCTTTTATAGTTTCTGTGTTCTCCTTATAATGCATGGTATACATATATGTAAAAGTTATTTGAGCTTTCTTTCTGAATGAGTTTTTTAAAAAAATCTAAATTCAGATCTGTAGCTCTAGTTATTATTTGAGCCAATTGAATTGCTGACTTTTTTGTGGGTTGTTGAGTAGCGAAATAACTACGTAACTACACTTGTTTTTGTCATTTCTTCATTTCCATAACTTTTATTAAACACTTAATTTTTTAGAATTCACAAAGCAACACACAGTTCTGCTAGTATAAGAAGAATGGGCTGAACTTTAAAATGTGGTTGTTACTCATTGAGATACACACAGCAACAGCAGCGGAAGTTTCACTCACTGAGTGAAGCCACTCTGTGCCAGGCCATGTGCTAGGTACTGAGGATCCAGAACTTTCTTGCTCATGATAAAATTCACCCCTCCCCTCTAAATACACAAAGTACTAGCCGAAACCTCCTTTTCCCTGAGTTGGAATAGACTGTGATAAACAATTTCCTGGGAGCCAGAAAAACAGAGAAGGACCCTTGAATGAGAGAAAGTATCCCTTCCTATAACTCCCTAGTATACTAAGGGTGTTTATGTACCACTGAGGCAGCTCCCTGAGAGCCACAACTCTCAGCAAAAGGATGTTCTTCCAAGGCAGCAGGGGATTCAGACAGTGGGCTTGGGACCTAGGTATTCAGGCTCTGAATAGCACTTGTCCTGCCCTCTGGTCCTTTCCCTGGGCTGGAGCTCAGCTTGCTGAACTTTTGCCCCTGTACCCCCTCCATGTTTATCTCTTCATACTCACCCACAGTTGATGACACGGTCTCATTCCTCTTGGGAAGAGACCGTTCTCATCTTGCTAACACCATCTGTGGATGTGGGTGTGTCTTTTCCTTACCATTCCTGCTTCTGATACATTTCCAGGAGGGTTGCCCAGGAGCTCCTTCACATCCATTATAGGAGGAAGTTTTCTTAATCTTTGGAAAACAAACTATTTGGTGTGAAATAACTTGTGAATTTGTTGTCTTCTAGGTCTCCAGAGTTCTCGGAGTAACCCCTCCCTCCAAGCCACGCTCAATAAGACAGCACTCTCCTCTTCCCTGAACAGCCACCCACAGACATCTGCTGCCAGCGTGTCTGCTCTTCACCCTTCACTCCGTCTGTTTTCTCTTAGCAACCCGTCTCTTTCCACCTCAAACCTGAGTGGCCCCTCTAGGCGTCGGCAGCCTCCTGTCAGCCCTCTCACACTTTCTCCTGGCCCTGAAGCACACCAGGGCTTCAGCAGACAGCTTTCTGCTACCAGTCCACTGAACCCATATCCTGCCTCCCAGGTAAAAACAGACAGACTCCAATTAAGTAGACTGAAACATGTAGGAACTGCCTTCTGGGCTATTTTGCATTGTGTCCATTATTACACCCAGCATCTGTGAGGTCTCAAATGCAGTCATGTGAAATCAGAGAGAGCAGAAATGCAATAATTCAGAATGCATTAATTTTCTAATCCAGATTTGCTGTGTTAATTACACTTAAATATTGAACAATTTGCAGGCACTGTAACTCACAAACTTGGGGTTGGGAGGAATGTAATTCAGATTTGTGTAAGATAGGTAAGAGAAACAAGGTTGGATTTCTTTTTTTTTTTTTTTTTTTTTTTTTGAGTTGGAGTCTCACTCTGTCCCTCAAGCTGGAGTGCAGTGGCATGCTCACAGCCACCGCAGCCTCAACCTGCTGGGCTCGGGCAATCCTTCTACCTCAGTCTTCCAAGTAGCTGAAACCACAGACACACACCACCATGTCCAGCTAATTCTTGATTTATTGTAGAGATGAGATCTTGCCAAGTTGCCCAGGCTGGTCTCAAACCTGCGGGCTCAGGCAGTCCTCTTGCCTTGGCCTCCCAAAATGCTGAGATTACAGGCATGAGCTACCATACCCAGCTACCAGGTTGGATTTAAAAATTGGTATAGAAAATCATTCATTGACTGTCTAGGCACATTAAGCCACAGGGGAAAGCCAAAGAAAACATGGAATACCTTCCTGGAGCTTTGATAGTAGATCAGACCTCCTCCCTAATTATAACTATAAATTTGAGAAACAATACTTTTATTGTTCATGAAATACTGGTTATAATGAGGATTATATATCTGTAAAAAGACTAAAAGAAGTCTGTTTAGAAAGAAGCATATTTTGTTGGATGTGGTGGCTCATGCTCATCCCAGCACTTTGGGAGGCCAAGGTGAGAGGATTGCCTGAGTCCACGGGTTTGAAACCAACATGAGCAACTTGGCAAGACTTCGTCTCTACAATAAATCAACACAACTAGCCAGATGTGGTGGCCATACCTGTAGTTCCAACTACTTGGAAGGCTGAGGCAGAAGGATCACCTGAGCCCAGCAGATCAAGGCTGTGGTAGCCATGAGTGTGCCACTGCACTCTAGTCTGGGCAACAGAGTGAGACTCCAACTCAAAAAAAAGAGCATATTTTGAAGTCACAAGCCCATCATAGAAATACACAAGCTGAAACATCATATTTTGACTTGACTTTGTTTTTATTCTAAAGTCTTAGGGTGGTTCTCCTTACCATAATCATCAATGACTATATTTTTAACCTAGGGTATTGGTCACACCCTAGATCCATTATAACATCATTAACTACTCACCACTTCACCATAAATGAGTAATCACTTAGCAAGGAAGAGCTGACAGAACACAACGGAAGGAGTTAGAAGATCTTGTTATTAGTCACTTTTTACCAATTACTAGCTATGGCCATCTTGTTTATATGAGTAATCCCTTTCAGATGAGGGTGAGAGGGCATTTCATAATTTTTTGTTGATGGTTATTTTTATGTTAGTGGATTGCCTTTTATTTTACAAGATTATTTTGTAAGATTATCTTGCTTTTTATCTACATTTTAAGGAGACTATATGGGTAGAGAATGTCCCCTGTTAGATGTTTTTATGTTTTGTTTGTTTGGTATTTTAAGTTTTTAAATTTTAATAGATTAAGCCGGGCTCAGTGGCTCACACCTGTCATTCCAGCACTTTGGGAAGTGGAAGCGAGGGAATTGCCTGAGCCCAGGGGTTTGAGACCCACCTGGGCAACTTGGCGAGACCTTTTCTCTATAATAAATCAAAAAATTAACCAGATGTGGAGGCATGCACCTGTAGCTCCAGCTACTTGGAAGACTGAGCCCAGCAGGTCATGGCTACAGTAGCTGTGATCATGCCACTGCACTCCAGCCTGACTCAAAAAAAAAAAAATTTAATGTTTAAAAAAGAATGTTTCTAGGCACAGTAGCTTACACCTATAATCCCAGCTACTTAGGAGGCTGAGGTGGGAGGATCACTGGAGTTCGAGACCAGTGTGGGTAACATAGCAAGACCTTGTCTCTTAAAAAAAAATTTCAGCCAGGCTCGGTGGCTCAGCTTGTAATCCCGCGCCTTTGGGAGGCTGAGGTGAGTGGATTGCCTGAGCCCACGGGTTCGAGACCCGCCTGGGCGGCGAGACCTCATCTCTACAATAAATCAAAAAATCAGCTGGGCGTGGTAGCGCATGCCTGTAATTCCGGCTACTTGGAAGGCTGAGGCGGAAGGATCGCCAGAGCCCAGCAGGTGGAGGCTGCGGTGGCCGGGAGCGGCCACTGCACTCCAGTCTGGGCGACCGAGTGAGACTCCAACTCAAAAAAAACAAAACAAAACAAAACAAAAAATTTCTTGGCCGGGCTCGGTGGCTCAGTCTGTATTCCCAGCACTTTAGGAGGCCGAGGCGAGTGGATTGCCTGAATTTGCAGGTTTGAGACCCGCCTGGGCAACTTGGCGAGACCTCGTCTCTACAGTAAATCAAAAAATTAGCCGGACGTGGTAGTGCATGCCTGTAGTTCCAGCTACTTGGAAGGCTGAGGTGGAAGGGTCGCCGGAGCACAGCAAGTTGAGACTGTGGCAGCCGGGAGTGGCCACTGCACTCCAGTCTGGGTGACAGAGTGAGACTCCAACTCAAAAAAAAAAAAATGTTAGTCATGCACATAATTTTATTTTTTTACTTTTTAAAATTTATTTATTTATTATAAAGATGTGGGTACAATTAAGGGTTAGGTATATAAACACCGATCGTGCAGGTACCCTTGTTGAAGAGGTATGCCCCTCCCTACCCCAGCAGTTTCCCTCAACTGCCAATCCCACCCCCCTCCCCTGATAGTTTTCTACTATTGCCAATCATGCACGTAATTTTAAAGGCCAAATAGTTCTAACGGGCTTGTTATATTCCCATTGACCATATTTATTTTTCACTGCCTAAAGATGGCTACTTTCAATTATATTAGCTAATCTCTTTGATAAAACCATGTTCTTTCTTTTTTTCTTTTTCCAAGTTGGAGTCTTACTCTCTCACCCAGCCTGGAAAGCAGTGGTATAATAATTTACCTTTCAGGCTGTCCTTCCACTTTAACCTTCCAAGTAGCTGGAAACACAGGTACCCACCACCATGCCTGGCTACTTTTTTTATTTATTGTAGAGACGAGGTCTCACCAAGTTGCACAGGCTGGTCTCGAACCCCTGGACTCAGGCAGTCCTTTTGCCTCTGCCTCCCAAAATACTGAGATTACAGGTGTAAGCCCCTGTGCCTGACCCCATGTTATTTCATGCTTATTTTGTTCTACATTTTAGGTGTTAGGCATTATCTGATGACATCCTTCATCAAAGATTAGTATTTAGTTCTCTTTCAGCTCTCCCGCAAAGCCTACCACATACACATATGCGTGTGTGCACACGTGTACACGCATATATACATTTCCTACCCACTCCTCATTTATTATAATTTTGGTTAGACTATTTTTTATAGTTGTAATAATGTAGTCAGAGTTGAAACATATAGTATACCAGGAAGTCACAAAATGACATTTTTGTTCCTCCGGGGAGTTAATAAATGTCCTACTTTTTTGTAGTCTGGTTATCTGTGTATGTTTTACTAATGCAATTCCCTACTCTTGAAGTTGGGTAGACCTCTCAATACATTTGGAACCAAATCCTATTGTAGCTTTAGAGGAAACAGTGAATGTGACCTTACATGACTTAAAAATGTCTTTATTCTACCTGCCATTTAATGAATAATTTGGCTGGATATAGAATTCTAAATCTGAGACCCAATGCAGTGGCTCAGGGGTTTGAGACCAGCCTGGGCAATTTGGTGAGACCTCATCTCTACAATAATTAAATAAAAAATTAGCCAGGCAAGGTAGCACGTGCCTGTAATTCCGCCTACTCGGAAGGCTGAGGCGGAAGGATCGCCGGAGCCCAGCAGGTTGAGGCTGCAGTGGCCGTGAGCATGCCACTGCACTCCAGCCTGGGCAACAAAGTGAGACTCCTACTCAAAAAAAAAAAAAAAAATTTGAAATAATTTTTCCTTGGAATCTTGAAGGTATTGAATCACACTCTTTTAGTTTCTTGAGTTGCTATTGAGAAATAAATTGCCATTCTGATTCTTAATATTCTGCATGAAATCTCCTTTTTTTTCTTCTGGAGACTGGTAGGATCTTCTTTTTACCTATACTGTTCTGAAACTTCAAGATAATATGGCTTGGTGTGAGTTTGAATAGTTGGCAGTGGGTTCAGTCTGGAAACTTGCATCCTTCATTTCTGGGAACTTTTAAAAATCATTACTTCAATGATTTCTTCCCTTTGGTTTCTTCTATTCTCTCTTTCTGGAACTCCTATTGTATGGATATTGAGTACCCTGGCCTTTTCCTCTAATATCCTTATTTTTTCCCTCTCCCCTTTTCTCTCTGCTTTCTGGAGGAGTTTCTCAACTTTATCTTCCAACCCTTCTGTTGAGTTTTTCATTTCTGCTCTCATTTCTAAATTTCCAAGAGTTCTTTTTTGTTCTCTAAATGTTCCCTTCTCATAGTATCACACTTGTTCCCTGAACTCAATATCATCTTTTATCTTTCCAAGGTTTTTACTAGTAGTTTTTGCTCTCATTTATTTTATCTTTATTTTTTATAATAGAATTTTTCCAAATTGCATGAAAGTAGAGAACATAATAGAATGAGTCCTTCTATACCCACCAACCAGCCTCAGCAGTTATTAACATTGCTATCTTGTTTCATCCATATCCCTACTTTTAAAGAAAATCTACATAAAAATGCATATTGCAAATATTTCAGTATGTCTCTCTAACAGGTAAGGATTTTCTCAGTAGCCTAGATATTATGATAGTTTTGTTTGTTCACAGCTTCTTGCCCCTGCACACACCTTTCCAAGCTTCTGTTGTCTGTGCATCTGCTTTGCTCGCTGACTTTCCTGTCAGGTGCTTTCCTCAGGGCTTGGTGGTCCTTGACTCTGCTCATATTGAAGAACAGGACACTAAGAAGCTGACTGGCAGCTCTTCCTACATGGGTGGGCTTGTTGAGAGTGGGCCTCATTGTAGAATGAGCTAGCTTGGCCATTTCTTGGAGGACTTCTGATAGCATAAGTTTTAGGACTTCTTCCCCAGGGCTGGTCAGATCTCCTAAAGCAGCGATCCCCAACCTTTTTGGCATCAGGGACCAGTTTCATGGAAGACAGTTTTTCCACAGACAGGGGTGGGGGTAGGGGGAAGGGGGATGAGGAGACATTAGATTCTCGTAAGAAGCTTGCCACCCAGATCTCTCACATGCACAGTTCACAATAAGGGTCGGCTCCTGTGAGAATCTAATGCCACCACTGGTCTGACCAAAGATAGAGCTCAGGCTGAAAAGTAAGTAATGGGGAGCAGCTGTAAATACAGATGAAGCTTCACTCACTCAACCTGCCGCTCACCTCCAGCTGTGCAGCCTGGTTCCTAACAGACCGCGGACCAGTATGGTCTGTGGCCTGGAGTAGGGACCCCTGCCCTAGAGGACAAGATTCCAATCTTGCATCTGGGCACATGCCTGCATTCTGGCATTCTGAGAACTGGAAAAGAAGGGCAGAGATCTCAAGATTGGACAGTGAGGCGTCTCATAGCCCTGTGTTTTCAGAAGAGTGTCTCACCTCTAAAGGCCCAAGACCCTTAGTTACACCCTCCATTGTACAACCCTCCAGGCTCCTGGCAGGTGGCAGGGAGGGTAGGATGGCAGCACAGAAACTCAAGCAAGGCAGGGCCCTGAAGGTTCACCTGCCCCTGGCAGAAACTTCGACCAGTGCCTCCTGGTTTTAGCTGCTCCCTTCTGCCCCCAGTTCCAGAGCCCATAGGGATTTAGTGTTGCAAATCAGATTGCCTCTGGGCGTCTCCCCACTGCCAGCTTAGCATTTGGCTTTCCCAGCCCTGCTAAGTGCATTACCACTTAGCCATCTGCTTCTCATTTTCCAGATTTGGTTGCCATTTTCTTCTCTCCTGTTATCTTGGTCCCTGTGTTGTCTATTATCGTTTTAGTGTTATTTATTATGGTTTTAGTGTTGTTTATTAATGTTTATTGTTGTTTTAGTGTCTTGTTTTAATGGGGTTTTGGGAGACAGCAGAGTTGAGCGTCTTTTTCAATCTTCCATTTTTAACCAGAAGTCATTTAAAAAACAAAACATGATTTTCACAGAGAAAATTGAGAGGAAATTGGTTAAAGTAGCTGTTTTCTTGTTAAGTTTTGTTTTCTTTTTTTTTTTTTGAGTTGGAGTCTCACTCTATTGCCTAGACTGGAGGGCAGTGGCACGCTCACAACCACCGCAGCCTCGGCCTGCTGGGCTCAGGCAATCCTTCCACCTCAGCCTTCCAAATGGCTGGAACTACAGGCATGCATCACCATCCCTGGCCAATTTTTTGATTTATTGTAGAGCTCTCGCCAAGTTACCCTGGCTGGTCTCGAACCCATGAGCCCAGGCGATCCTCTCACCTCAGCCTCCCAAAGTACTGGGATTATAGGCGTGAGCCACCACGCCCAGCCTAGTTTTGTCAAGACAACAGAAACTGTCATTGACTGGGAAATGCTTTGTGAGGCAGTGAGATGCGAGGTATGCTCTGGAGGCTCCACACAGCATTGCCTTGGCGTACTGTGGTGGGGCAGAGCCCAGCTTCCTCTCACTCGGGAAAAGTCCTCATCCTAAGGACCCCAATACTAGAAGCTCCAGCTAATTAGTGGCTTCCTTTGTTTGTTTGTTTGTTTGTTTTACAGATGGTGTCCTCAGATCAAAGTCGGCTTTCCTTCCTGCCCACAGATGCTCAAGCCCAGGTGTCCCCGCCGCCCCCTTACCCCACGCCCCAGGAGCTTCCCCAGCCTCTCCTGCAACAGCCCCACACCCAGGAGGCCCCAGCACAGCAGCCCCAGGCAGCCTCCTCACTGCCACAGTCAGACTTCCAGCTTCTCACAGCCCAGGTGAGTCCTGGCAAGAGCGTTGGTGAGGAGGGAACACTTATTTTCCTCCAGCTCCAAGCTAAATGGTCACCTCCTTATTCTCTGAAGGGCTCATCTTTGACCAACTTCTTCCCAGATGTGGGCTTTGACCAGCAGTCCCTGAGGCCAGGCCCAGCCTTTCCTCAACAGGTAGGTGATCGCCTCCTGCCTTTCCCTTCCTTGGTGCATAAACTGCACCATTTAGGCTGTTCAATGAGCAGAAGCCATGGCCAAGCGGATTAGATTCTGTTTCCTAGTTTCAGATGTGTTCTGTGGCTAAGACAGTCTCAAATTTTCCCTGGTGCTAAAATGCTGGTGCTGGCTGCCTTATTTAGCATCAGGCCTCCCCAGAGGAACTGCTTGAACAAGTGGCAGAAGACTTTCGATGACACTCTAGTCATAGCATTGTAGAATCATTAATACTGGAAGGGACTATAGCACCTAACTTAGCAATCCTCATGTTGCGGAAACTGAGGTATAGGGAGGGGTGATGCCTGGTCCAAGTAGCAGAGTTAGAAAGTGGCACAGCGTTTTGCCTGTGGCCTGATTGGTTACTCACAGCACAACACATGGCCTCCCGGGAGAGCTCTGACATTGGGAGAGAAGGGCAGAGGTGGGGGGAGTTCCTTCCAGAAGATATTTTCTTTTAGCCGCTTTCTTTTGCTTTTCAGTTTCTACCAAACACTGGCTACTTTTAATATTCCTAGATTTTATAGTGTTCCATAAATATAGACTGGACTCTCAGATGGATTAAGGAGTGAAGGAAGGATTCAGCAGTTTCCAGAACTTGATAATAATAGTAAAATCAATCAATATAGTTATTTCCTGAGTAGACCATGGTAAAACCTTGCCTTCCCCTTGTTTAAGGAGCCCTTTTTAGTCTAGGGAAGATTCAGTGTTTCCCTGAAAAGTAATGAAAACTCCTTCTTTTGAGATTTTTTTTTAAATGGCTTAGAAAATTAATTTTAGGAAAGATGCCTAAAACAGCCACAAAATAGGATTTTTATTGTAGAAAGACAAATTATATCCATTTGTGAAAAAAATATTAAAGATTTGAAGAGGCAGGCTCAGTGGCTCAGCCTGGAATCCCAGCAATTTGGGAGACCAAGGAGAGTGGATTGCATGAGCCCATGGGTTTGAGACCAGCCCAGGCAACTTGGCGAGACCTCTACGATAAAAAAAAAAAAAAATTAGCCAGGCGTAGTAGTGTGCACCTGTAGTTCTGGCCACTTGGAAGGTTGTGGCGGAAGGATCGCTGGAGCCCAGCAGGTCAATGCTGGGGTGACCATGAGTGTGTCACTGCACTCCAACCTATCCCACTTGGGCGATGGAGTGAGACTCCAACTCAAAAAAAAAAAGAAAGATTTGAGGAATTGTGTTTTAACAAAACGACCCCTCCAATGTTAGAAAGGTGCTTACCTGAGTGTGAAAAGGAAAGACTTCCACTTTCTCGGTTTTCTGTTAACCAAGGAAGAAAAGAGTCTATTGCTTCCTTGGTTACAGATGGAGCCTTTAAAGGGTTTCCACAGAGGGCGATTTGCAAAGGCTTCAGTGAGGTGAGGTGAGGAGAGGAGAGAGATGTCTGAGCCTCAGAGGAGTTGCTGAAACCATGACTGTTGGGATCTTCTGGGATGGCGTAGTGGCTGGGCAGTGTGTGTGGACAGGGAAACATCACCCACACTGTGGCCCTCAGGGACCCCTCCTCCATCCCAGCATCTGCCTGCCCAACAAGAGTATTCTGCACATGTTATCATGACAGCAAAGCACTCTGGGATCTTAGGAAGAAAGAAGTCTAAGGCAGTTTGCATGTCTGGTTTTGTTCTGGAAGCACATTGCACTATTCCCTCCCTCCTGGGAAGCAGAGCTCGTTCTTCACAGTGTCACCTTTGACACTTCCAGGTGCCCCTGGTGCAACAAAGTCACCGAGAGCTGCAGGATTCATTTCATTTGAGGCCAAACCTATATTCCAACTGCGGAAATTTCCCTAACAACATCCTGACAGGTGAGTGGGCCACCCCTCAGCTTCTTTGCTGTTTTTATGTTGCTGTATTTTTGCAGACACCTTTGTAGGAGCTTAAACAGCATAACATATAAAGCAGAAAGCAAAAGTGGCTCAGCTTGACTTTGTGCACTGCAGGTGCCCAGCCCCAGAGACTGGGAGGCAGTGGGGAAAGGGCCTAGCGGTCTAAGCCTTTTCTGAAGTATTTAGTCTTAGGTGATTGGCAATAGTTCAAAAGGAGAAAATCTGCCAAAATTGGGAGTTGTGGAAGTGACTGAAAAGAATGTAGATTTCAGGGCAGGGTCTATGCCCCAGGAGTGGTTGGTCAGGACACAGGTGCCCGCTGTTCTAATCAGGAAGCAGTCAGGGACTGCGTTTGGAGGTTGCCATCAACTGTGTTCTCTTAGTAGCTTCGAGCCCTCATGCCTCCTGAATCACACTGTTTCCCTTCCCGGCCCTTTCCAGAAGACTCGAACATCAGCCTGTTCAAAGACCTGAGTAGCGCACTGGCAGGCATGCCGGAGGTTGGCCTGAGCATGGACACTCCATTTCCACTGGAAGAGGAGCTCCAGATTGAACCTCTGAGCCTGGATGGACTCAACATGTTAAGTGACTCCAGCATGGGCCTTCTCGACCCCTCTGTTGAAGAGACGTTTCGAGCTGACCGACTGTGAACAACGCAACAGAACAGAATGTTTTTCTGAAACAACCAAAATAGAATGGAGCCAGCTAACACCCTGGGCTTTAATTATCTTGACATGGAAGGAGCCAACTCCATAGCTCCAGGCTTCCAGATGAGGTCCCATCTCAAACACCCTGGCTTTTTCTAGACCACAGAGCCATGTACTGCCTCTCAGGCTTGTGGCGAAAGCTGTGCTGCTGCAGGCCGGCTGCTCTGGAGCTTCCTGTGACCTGGCAAGCTCATCTCCTTGCCATTGCATCTTTTTATTGGCTATGCAGTCAGTTGCTGTGCAAAAGTAGAGAACACCATGTAACGGGAAGGCTCAGCAGCATTGTGTTGTGCTCAGAACCACTGATCTCGATCAACACTGAAGACAGGACCTGGAGTGGGGGCAGCCAGGGCCACAGTCTGCTTAGCAGGCTCGGCATAAAGCGGCAGCCCCAGAGCACCACAATGCCCTCTCTCACCTGACAGGAGGCCAGGCACCCTCCAGCCGGGGGACATTCCAGGGCTGAACAGACAGCCTGGCTCTCTCAGATGCCTTAGTTATAATAAGAAGAAGTTTTACCAAGTCCAAGGACAGGCTCCAGCAAGGCAAACTGAATGCTGATTTGTTTTCTCCCAGTTTGCAATCTCGTTTCTGCTGCTTCAGTCCACCTTTTCCTTATGGACCAAGGAAAAGGAAGACGATTTTATCCAGTCACTGAAAAAGTCCTCCAGCAACAGATGCGCCTAAAGAGAACAGTGCTCCTTCTTGGTGGCTGGGGAGGAAAGACATGGCACTGGAGGGATCTCACGGACACTCGATGTCCTCTGGACAAACTCTGAACGAGCCCAGGCCTCCCTCAGACCAGCTGGAGGGAGCAGCTGGCGGAGACCCTGATCAGGCCCACCTAGCCCTGAGCTTCCCTTTTCTCCCCAGAGCTGTTCTCTGGACCAGGAAAGCAGGGACAGTGCCTTATTCAATATTGAACCCCCAGCACCTAACAAGTGCCTGGCGGCACACTCACTGTGTCAGAGTAAGTGCTGCGTAACTGCATGTTGAATGTGTGAATGAATGAATGAATCTGCCTTGCTGTGAGGCAGTCTAATCTGTAGCCATCCCATTCCCTGCCCAGTCTTCTCAGACCTGTAGCTTTTCTAATGCTCATACCTATGGTGAAGCATGCACTTTAATATGCTTTTAACACTAGGTAACCAAACCCATTACACTGGGTACCTGTCCTTCTGAGAGCTGTGCCCATAGCAGGTAGGAGGGAGTTGTCTTCTGAGTATGTCCAGAATGGCTGGGCAGGTAGGGGACCCTGCCTAGGCCCCACCCCGGGAGACCTTCCCTCTCAGAGCCATGTTTTGCTCTAAGTGGCTTTAAGTAGAAATTCATTCGTGGAGGTTGAAGAAATAGTTTTGAGTAAAATGAAGGGCTAATTCATAGAACCATCTTAGTTATTAATGCCTTATCATAAAATGTGACCAGATTTCCACCACTACCACCTGCCTCCTCTAACTTAGGCTAGGCCAATTCTGAAGGAAAAACCTGCCAGTAGGTTTGAAAGGGGCGGAGCACCATGGGGCGGAGGGGTGGATCTCGGCGTGAGAAAGTGGGGTGGGGAGGAGGAGGACCCTGGAGGAAAGGTGCAAGATGCCAGAGCCTCTGCTTGGACAGCCACAGCCCTCCAGGGGACCCAGGAGTGTCACTGGGGTTACAAGACTCCCCCACCCAGAGAAGCAAGGCTCACTATGAGGGTCTGAATCTGACACATCCGTCCCAGTGGCAGGAGGAGTGTCTGTCATAAGATCCTGGGCTGACTGGCCTCTTCTGACCTTGTCCCATTTCTCGCCTGACTTCAGACGCCTTGCCTCTATCTTTCAAATCGCCCTCCTGGTGGGCTATGGCCCTGTCCTCTGGAGCCCTAGTATTCCTATTTCACATTTGCCCCGAATCTGTGCTGTTGAACTAGAAAATCAAACTTGAGTCCTCCTTGCCTGATTCTGGCTCAGGAAGGGGCCTCCCCTTGCAAGCCTGTTCCCAGTCACACTTTCAGATTCCTTTATGCTTGAGATTTCAGAAGAGGAGACATTGGTTAAAAGGACCTTCTGACATAATGCTGCCCAGCATCCCAGTGTGCTGAAACAAGCCAGCTCCGTGTCAAAGGCCCCAGAATCTGACCTCACCTTTCCAGCAGGGAGTGGGACTGATGTTGTAAGAGTTTTGTCTTTTTGTAAAACAGAGGTCCCACTCCACATTAGTGCCTTACCTGCAGGACCATCATGTTGGGGCCTGGGTCACTTTGCCCAGAAGCCCTGCCTGACAACAGGAGCCCACAAGACCTACATGACGAGTTGCACTGCCCCTGGGCGTTCTCCAGGTTCCTTGTGGAGGTGGAGGCGTCCCCAGAAGTGATTCGTTTGGGGGAGCATAATGATGACAGTGTGGTTTAGCACTGAATTAAATCTATCCTGAGGTCCGTCAGTCCAGGCTTTTCTCATGGAAAGGGTTGTTAGGCATTCTACAACCACCTTTGCATGGATGGTGTCACCATGGACAGTGTCGCCCCAACCCTCCAGCACATCAGCCCACCCATTGCTGCCTTCATAAACAAGCCACAGCCCTTGGCATTTGAAGGGGCTACATACTTCAGAATAAACTAGTTTTCAATATTTAGTTTTGCCACAAGAAACAGATCCTTGTACTCCTCACTTACTAGCAGTTAAACAGCATAGAACTCAAAGCCTGTCTGTGTATCCAGTTTCTCTTTCTGTATGGTTGTGGTTTTTAGGACATAAGGTGTTAGGAGAAAGTGTTCTTGACCATGTCAAGATCAACATCAATTCTCCTTTGTCCTGTTTCATTTCTCCTAAGTCTACTGTGTATAACCTGAGCAAAACGGCATATTTTCAAGTCCATATGTGTATTTGAAGGCATGTCCCCTGATTTATACACAGATGGTTCCGAGCGCGTTTCCAGTGCTTTGTGGGTGGGACCATCGCAGCAACTAATCCGACTTCCTGCCAGTGTCCTAACTCCCAAGGCGCCCTGTTCAACAATATTTAAAGATTGGAATTTGTATAAAGTAGCTTCCAAGTTTTATAATGCATCATTTTACATCTTTCGTAATTAAAAGCAGCACAATAAGTTGTCTCTGCATCCGGTGTCTGTCTTCAGCCTCGTCTCGGGGGCCAAGTGCGTGGGAAGCTTTGCTGTGGCGCCACCTCCTGACGGCTCAGCCTGTGGGTCGCATCTCCAGGCCTTGGCGAGGTGGGTCCTGCCGCTCGCTGCCAAGCATCTCCATTGCATGCGTGGGGCACTCAGCTCCTCCCGCTGGAGGCAGCTCTGCCTTCTGTCCCTCGCTGCCAGCACTCCCTCCAGGTCCCTGTCCCACCCTAACCCCAGCTGCTCCACCCTGGCCTGGCCCTCAGCCCTCTCCCCCCATATGTCCCCCCATCCCAGCGGAGTTCACAGCAGACAACCATATCTGGCGCTTGTCACAAAGGTGGCCATCTCCTGAAATCTAGCTCGGAAACCTCATCTCTGGCCCCAACTTCCCAAACCCCCATTTCTGCTCTGGCCTCCACATGTCCTGTTCTTTGGACACACTGAGAATTCTGCCCCATGTCCCCTCTTAACCTGTCTGAGCCCTCCTGGCTTCCCATCCTTCTAACCTGGCCCACCCAGTGAGTGGCCTCCATGACGCCCTCCTGCTCTGACCTGCCACCATGCCACAAGGCCAAGCCCTGGCTTTTCGATGCTGGGAGCCCTACCAGAATAACTCACAAGCACCACACTGACACCCTCTCCTGTCCCCCGGGGCACCCACGCCCTGCTTTCCTCCTCAAAGCCTTCATCAGACCTCACAGAGGCCTTCTCTCCTCTTGTCAACCAGGACATCCGGACAGCTCCCCCAGTGTCCCGCCTGCTTCCCATTCTGTCCCCTTTCCCGCGGACACTTGCCCAAGCCTATCTATCCCCATCCTGCCACCTTCCCCATCTGTCATATCTGGGTTCTTGTTTTTGTTTTTCATGTGCCATTTGAGAGGCCAAGGCAGTTGGATTGCTGGAGCCCAGGGGTTCAAGACCAGTCTGGGCAAGATAGCGGGACCTTGTCTCTGCAAAGCATCAAAAAATTAGCCGGGTGTGGTTCTGTGTACCTGTAGTCCCAGCTTCTTGAGACACTGAGGTAGAAGGATCACCTGAGCCCAGGAGTTTGAGGCTGTGGTGAGCCATGATCACACTACTACACTCCAGCCTGGGTGACAGAATGAGATCCCCACTCAAAAAAAAAATTATCCAGCTGCTGATACTATCTCCCCTCTCTTGGAATCTGGCCTCCACACTCCTCACCTCTCAGATCCAGCCTGAACCTCGATGTCTGCCCAGACCCAGCTCCTCTCTCCCTGACCTGGCAATAGCCTCGCATCTGGCTCCTTCCTCATCTCTCCCCATGAGGCAGCCTCGACCTCCCCTCAGAAATTAGCAGAGTGGCACATTTTACTTGATCTTCCTATTCCTCAGTGTCCTCATCTGCGAAACAGGACAGTAAGCACCCCCCATTTCATGGCATTGTGAGAGTGAAATTAACCCACACAATTCAGGCACTTAGAATTGTGCCCTGCACATTATAAACAATGTGTCCATTATAATAAAAGTTTAACTATTCCTTACATAAACCTGTTATCCTTTCAAAGATAGGGTACATGAATCTTTAGAAATACTGAATTTGTATGATACTTGCTTTGAAAGACCAACTCTTAGTTCTGGGAGGAGTGTTTTAAATGGATCTCTTTTGGGTCCTGGTTGCTTAATGAGCCAGGGCTGTGCTCTATGCAAGTATGGAAATTAGGGTTTACAGCAGTCATTTACGTGGCTGTGTCTCCACGTGGACACTAGATGGAGCTGAGGCCTCAAGAGTGGCTCTTAGGACCCAGAAGCCAGAACCTCCTGACCCCCTCAACTCAACCTTTGGGCTGGGTTGGCAGCGGGCTTCGTTAGAACCGAATCCTGTGATGATGGGGAAATAAGTACCCTTAGTGACCACACGACTGCCAGACACTGCACCTCACAACCAGGATGACTGCTTGAATGATGAGGAAAGGGACCCAGAGAGAGGCTCAGGCTCACCCAACTGAAGAGAGAGGCGCCAGGGCCTGAGCCCAGTGGGCCTGACTCTGCGGCCTTCGGATCCCACCCACCACTGCACCTGACTCCCTGGGCAGCCTGAGGCGTCTGCTCAACAAGTGTCCCTTCCGGTGCCCCCTCCCCGACCAGATCACCCGTGAAATAATCTGCACCCCTCACCCTGCAGAGGAGAGGACCTGGCAAAGGAGTGCTTTTCCCCCCATTTTCAGAAACATGTTTTAATTTTTTTTAAATGCTTTGCTTTTATAAAAAT